GCTCGGCATCCTCGGCGCCCCCGCCCGGGCTCGCCAACCGGATTGGCTCCCGGCTCCGGGAGCGCGCGAGGGCGCGGCGCGTAGAGCCGGGCTGGGGGCGCGCGCGGCGCCGCCGGCGGCCGCGGAGGAGCGCGGGGAGGAGGGCGAGGGGAGGGAGGAGGCGCCCGCCCGGCTCCCTGCAAAGCGGCCTTATTTATCTGGGCACTGCCTCAGCCTCCCCGGTGGGAGGCTCGGGGCAGCCGATCCTCTCCCACCGGGGAGCTCCTCTCGGGCGCGGCCGAGGGGGCCGGCCAGGCCGGGGCGCGGGGCGCGGCAAGGCCCTGCCGGCCAGGCCAGCACCTCGGCCGCCTCCCCGCTTCGCCAGCGCCCATGCCGGGCTCCCCATGACGAGAAGACGCCCGGCGGACAGCGTGGCATGAGCCAGGTGCCCGGGCCAAGGTAAGGTGTGTGCACCGGGCCAGGCTGCGGGGCGGGGAAGGGGCTAGGCCGCGCCATCGCGGCGGCCACAATGAGGATTGGGGAGGGGGCTTCAGAGAGGGCCGCCACCCCCCCCACGGGGTCTCACATAGGCGCAGCCCCTTCACAGTCCGAGGCCACCGGGCCTCTGGCCCTGACATGCCCTCCCACAGATCCTGATCCTAGCGCCGCCTGGTTGAAGCATGCTCCCCAGAGCAACTGGATCAGGGCTGTGGGCCGGTGCCACCTGACCACAGCCCTGGGGAAGCAGAATTGCAGGCCCTGAGCCCATCAGGTTGGGTGAGGTCCTGGACTTCCTTTGAACTCTGAGCTCCCCCCCCCACCCAACACCATGAGCCCCTCCGCCTATGAGACAAGTGTTAGATACAATTACACTCCAGGAGGAGCCATGTGGATGCATGGCGGGGGGCTAGTCTGCCCTGGGCACCTGGGCCTGTGTGGAGCTGCCACAGCAGGAGAATGAGAGGGAAGGAGGAGGCTGGCCATGTGCCTGTTCTGGAGGAGGGGTCGGGCCTTGGCCAAGGTTGGAGGGCTTCAGAAGGAGAACTGGGCACCCTGAGGCTTGCTGCGGGGGGGGGGGTCTGGCCTCCTGGGATTTGCAGGGAAGAGAGCCCCCACCCATCACCCCAAGAGTGAAGAAGCCCTAGCTGTTGGAGCCTCAGGGAGCCCATGGCCCAGTGGCCACTCCTCTAGCCCCTCCCGGCCTCTGCACAGGAAGCCTTCCCTCCAAAGAGAGAGCAGATGGCGGATGCCGCTTCACCTGCCCACTCGGTCAGTCCCCTCCCGCTACCCGCCACCTCCCAGGCCCCTTCTTTCAGCCAACCCCTTTGAGCAGAGGCCTGGGCTGGGACTCTGGGATGGCCAAGGCTTGATGGAGACTTGCTGGCCTGGCAGGAGGTGGCCATAGGGCTGGACCAGGTGCTGTGGGGAGGAGGGAGATCCAAACCCCCATCATAAACCTGGGCAGTGCAGGGTGGCCTGTTCAGGTCCCAGGGGACCCCGGGACTCAGCTGTGTGCTGTCTCCACTACTCGGCTCCCCTCATTCTCAGCCACCTCTTACTTGGGCCAGGCAGGCCTCTCAGCACCTATAATGCTGGGCAGGCCCACTGGACAGGTGCTCCCCTCCAGTTCATGCCCACTTCTAGAGCACTTCAGTGAGTCTTACCTCCCAGTGCAATGAGAAAACAAGTAGTCCTGAGGTCGGGGGACCTAGGCCCCTCAAGACTACTGGCCTGGGCCCAGCAACTCTGTGCTGCTGAGAGCCAGGGAGACACTCACCCCAAGGTGGGGCACTGCTCGGCTGCCTGCAGCCCCATCTTGTCACACGTGGGTGCTCACTGCTGTGTCTCAGAGGGGAAGAGTGGAGGTGGCAGTGAAGGAAGGCTCTGTGGGCTAAGTGGGTGGTTCAGCACCTTCCCCACCACTGACAAGGAGGAGCTTCAGCCAGACCAGCCACAGAGAGTGGGCTTGGGCCACTCGGCCTCACTTGGCAGGGAAGAGGGGGAGGGTTTGAGGCAGCCGCCCAAAGAAGCAGGCACTAGATGCCCCCAGTATAGGCACTGGGGGAGGGGGGTGCTCAGATCCTTCAGAGTAGAAGAACCAAGATGAGGCTTGGAGCCCAAGTTCATTCCCCAAAGTGCCCAGTCCCACATGGCTGAGCTGTCCTGAGCGTGACCACAGGACTCGGTCTGATGAAGCACCGATTCTGGTCTCTTTTGAGGCCACGTGCTCACTTCCTGGAGCCCCTGGTGCACGGGTGGGGCAGCTTGCACCCCAGAAACATCTCTGAGCTGGGGGCGGGAAGGGAGCATTCTGCTGGCTCATGTGCAAAGTGGCTGGGATGTGAATGTGCCTGAGTCACGGGGCATGGAGTTTGTCAGCCTGCGCTGTGTCCCCAGTCCCAAGCTACCCTGGTTGTCACAACTGTCCCTGGGGCTGTCACCGCAGATCAACCTGATGTGAATTTCTCTGGCTACCCACGCCCTGCCCAGCTCCACGGCCCTCAGTGGGTGGGCAGGGAGAAACGTTCAGTGCAGATCCTATTGGGGCCAGACCCCTCCAGTACTTCGGGCAGGCCGTGTCAGACAGAGCATCAGAGATGAGGGAAGAGATCTCTGAGTTGGGAGCCATGAGGGCTGGGGGGTTTCCTAGGCATGAGCAGTCCAAAAAGAGTGTGTCCTAGGGGTGAGCATGCAGCTTGCAGCCTCTGGAGAGCAGGGACATGACAGAGATAGTGCTTGGAGAGACCAGCAGCCCAAGGTCCCGGGCTGGGAGGACACAGGGGACTGAAGAAGCAGAACAGGGCACAGAAAGGAGGGAAGTACCCCTGGCCAGCATCAGGCTGGCTAGATGCCCAGCATTGCCCTCTGCACCTCAGGGCCTGAGTCAGGCAGGGAGTCAGACAGACTAGGAGTCCTAGGATCAAATCCCAGCTCTGTGCAACTTCTGAAAATTCAGTCCCTGACTCTCCCTTTCCCCACTTGTGGTCAGGAAGTGTGTGAAGGGCTTGGACCAGCAATAGGGGAGTGGCACTGGGAAGAGCAGGGCAGGACCAGCTCCTCCCTCCCTTCTGGTGGCTCCTGTCCCCTCCTTGGATCTGGCCAGATTATGGGGGATGGGCAGCCAGCCTCCTTACTGTGCAACTCCCAAAGTGGGGACTCAGCCGAAAATGAGGTATAAGCTGTCCTCTTCCCAAGGGTCTGAATAATTGCAAGGCTTACCCCAAACGCCAGGTTCTTAGGAGCCTTTTCAGAGACTCTGGCACCAACCCAACCCCAGTGCCCACCCTCACTGTGGACACTGGCCTCTGTCACAACCAGGATTAACAAACTGAGCTACACCCCCCTACCATCCACCTGCCCTCTTCTGAATCTGGCCGGTCCTCCACCAAGCCTCCTGGGCCCCTGGCAGCCACACTCCTTTCTGCATGACCCTGTTGACTGCCATTCCTCATTCATTCATTCATTCATTCATTCAGCAAGCATTCAGAGACCATTCAGCCATGGTGCTGCCTGTCTTCAAGAAGTCCCCAGCCAAGGGAAGAGACAGATGAGTTGACGTAATGACTGAGACCCTGGAGATGCTTTTCTCAGTGCTGGGGAGTCGCACAGTGGGAGACAGGGGATGGCAGTCACACTGAGGTGTGGAGGCTAAGGACCTGGCAGGGTTAAGAGGGAGGCCTTCTGAGCCAGCAGGGGGACCAGCATGTGCCCAGGCAAAGAGAGAGAGGGGAGGAGGAATACTGAACAGCGGGTCTGGCTGGACTGTAGGGTCAAAGCTGGGGAGGAGCCAGAGGTGAAGCTGTAAGGTCGACATGCTAGGTCTCGGGGCCCAGTGACTTGACGGCAAGAGGCAGCTCCTCGCAGAGCCTCAGCATGGACATCTGCAGACTGTCAGCCTGGAAGCCACCAAGTTCTGGAATCCTCCCAGGAGACTTGAGCCCCCGCAGCCTATCCCAGGAGGACCTCCTCCAGAATTCCGCTCCACACGGAGGCACAACACACCAGGGGCTGAGGCTGAGAATAGTGCAAGTTTGGCCATCTTTTTAAAACGCCTCTTTTCCTAGCGTTAGCTCCTGGTGCTTATTTCTAAAGGAGGAGGCAGTCCACATCAGATTGGCAGCGGCCCCTACCCCATCCTAACAAGAAACTCCGGGCAAGTCTTCTGAGCCTCACTGGGCACAGTGGGGGCAGTAGCAAGTACCAAAAGGGTTGGGGTCTCACAGCCCATCTGGCTGGGTGGATGGGACTAGGCATAGGGGCACTTGTCCCAGCTCCCCCAAAAGACCTCTTGCCTAAATGACAGGAAGACCCATCTCTGACCACAAGCTCAGTTCTCTCCTAAAGCTCTGACCCCTGGGCTAAGCTGTGGCTGTTTCCAGTTTTGAGCCACGGAGCAAGGGATTCTCAGGCTGGGTCATTGAGGCTGGGGTGTGCAAATGGAGCCCAGCAGGACCATGGACAAGGTTGGGGAGCAGCAGGGCTGCCTCCAGGAAGAGGCAGCTCCGATCCGGGGCACAGCAGAAGGGCTGATGGACTGGGAGGGCAGAGCCTTCTGTCCAGGGATGTGGGTGTGGGGATAAAGGGCAGCCAGGCCTCGGACACCCCCCCAGGCTGAGGCCATCCTCCGCCTGGCCCCTCCCTCCCGTGGGCCCTCTCCACCGGCTGGCTTGTTTTCACCAGCTACACCCTGAGGCCTGAAGAGTGGGGATGGGACTGTGGGCGTGTGCAAATGTGAGCTCCGGTGGAGTGGGGGTAAAGAGCCCCGCAGATGCCCGGGGCATCCACGTGCATTCCCCCCCCCCCCCACCAACCAACTCAGGCACTCCACGTGCACACCCCATGGCTGGGAGCATCTTTAACCTAAATCGGCTCTGCTCTGGAGTTATTTCTCCCCTGGTGCCACCTCCGCCGCCTCCTCCGGATCTTAGCGGAGCGGGCGGCTTCTCGCCCCGCCCCGTCGCCTGCAGGGCCTCTCCCTGCTGAGCTGGGTTTGCCGGGGCCGGCCCCCACCCCGCCCCCACCAGCCGCTGTCCGCGGTGGAGCCCGCCCGGACCTGGCCTCCGAGCACGCGCACAGCGGCTTCAGGGGCGCTGTCCATGGTGCTGCGCTCCGGGGCCGAGCGAGCGGTGCCTGGTCTGCGGGAAGGGGCAGAGGCTGGGTGGGCGGTGCGCCCCGAGCCCTGAAATCATGGCGCCCCGCTCCGGCGACACAGAAGGTATTCAGGGTGGGGCTGCCTCTCTGAACCCAGCACAGCTCACAGGAGGGAGTCCACAGGACAGCCTCTCTCCCCTGCTCCCTGCGGAGGGGACCAGTCGTGGGCTTCCTCCTGTCCCTTCCATGATGGTCTCCTCCACACGTACTAGTTTTAAGAGATCTGGGGCAGCCCTCATGTCAGGCTGCCCCCCCATCCGCCACCGTGGGTAAACTGTAACTCCTTGGAGCCTCAGGTTCCCAATCTGAAAGTGGGGTTAACAGTGGATTCCCCCCTCCCCCCCGCCAACACACACATACACGTGCACGGCTGCCATGAGGCTGGAACACATGATTATCCCAGTGGGTATTCAGCAAACGTTGTTACGAATGTCGTATTTCCGCCAGTGTGAGGCTGCCACTATCTGGTCGAGCTGCAGTAAGGGGACAGCCAAAGTGGGGGAGCCTCCCCTGAGGACGGCTGGCCTGATGTGGACTGTGAGCCTGGGGGCTCATGGCTGCCAGGACAGGAAGGCCTTTGGACCCAAAGCTGGGTTGGCAGCCATGAGGGCCACGTGTTCCAGTAGACCCCTGGTCCCAGCCTAGGTCTGCAGCCCCTCCCCAGATGTGGAATGCCAGCAAGGGTTGTCCTCTCCAGGGCTTGGAAGCCAGTGGGGGGCATGGTGCTGGGTAGACCAGGGCAGCCCACTTCCCTCCCTCCCAATGGCTCCTGACCCCTTCCCCCAAGGTGGGCCATGGGGCTCAGAAGCAGCCCCCTTGCCACTTTCCAAATGCTCGTTGTGAGCCAGGCACTATGCGTAGCCCTTTGCATATGTCGTCCTGTGGGGTGGATCATCCCTTCTCAGGCTTCAAAGTAAGGAAAAACGAGGCTTGGAGAAAGGAAGTGGCTCACTGAGGCCACAGAGCCAGGGTGTGTGACCCCAGAGCCTGTGCCTGAGCCCCTGGGCGCACTGCCTTTCCGCTGCATATCTGGAGTGGGGGTGGGCAGGGGAAGATCTGGAATGTGGAGCAGATGGTGGCACTGTGAGGGTCCTGCTGTCCCCCTCTCCAGGGCTGTGCTCAAACCCCTCTGCCACCCATTCACAGCCTCAGAGGCCTGAGGGGGGAACGGGGGGGGTGTCCAGTCCCACCTTGTGAGGAACACCCTACAAATAGTCTTCCACAGCCAGCTCTGGTTCAAGCCTTGGCCCCCCCCCCCGCTTACCATGACCTTGGGCAAACAGTTCATGCTGCTTTGTTTTCCTCATCTGTACAATGGGCACATTGTTCATAGCATCGTGAATGGGTTGGATAGAGGATTAAAGTGACAGTATGTGTCCAGGGCTCACTGTGCTAGCATCATACATAGTAAACTCTTGCCCTTTCTTTGGGTAGATTATGAACCATGGAACCTCCAGTAGCCACTGAGATTCTCAGGGGCTGGTATGAGTCTCAGACAGGGTACTGGAACCACTCCAGAGAGTGAGGATGGCATCCCATAGTGGAGGGGCCCGAGACCACCCCAAACCATGTCCCTCAGTTTTCCAGTCCCTGCCCAGTGGAGGTAGGCCTGGCAGGCACTGAAGGGGGACAATGGGGTAGTAAAGGTGAAGGGAGCAGTCACAAGCGAGTGTCTGTCTCTGCCTGCCTCTTTTCTCATCTCTAAAATGGGAACCATAGTACCTGGGTGTCAAAAAAGATCTGTGAGGACAGGTTGAGCTCAGTGCCCACAGTAGGGGCTCAGGGAATGTCATAGTCATCAACAGCCCTGATCTCCTGTTGCTGCTCACACTGAGGGACAGAGTGACTTGGATTCAGATCCTTTCTGTTGGGTGGTTCTGGGGGTGCCATGGGAGGAGATGCCCTGGGATGGGGAGCCCAGCTCTGGTCCCGCAGCGACTCATGACCCCCTCCCGGACCCTGTCCGCAGATCGCGCGAAGAAGATGTCGAGCCCGGGTGTGGACGGCGACCCCAAGCCTCCATGCTTGCCTCGCAATGGCCTTGTGAAGCTGCCAGGCCAGCCCAACGGCCTGGGTGCAGCCAGTATCACCAAGGGCACACCAGCTGCCAAGAACCGCCCCTGCCAACCACCTCCCCCACCTACCCTCCCACCGCCCAGCCTGGCTGCCCCACTGCCACGGGCTGCCCTGGCTGGGGGCCTGTGCCCCCCAGCAGGGCTCCCCCTTGGTGGACCAGCCTCAGCCCCAGTTCCCGGGCCCCCAGTGGAGCGGCCACCACTGGCCACAGACGAAAAGATCCTCAATGGCCTCTTCTGGTACTTCTCAGCCTGTGAGAAGTGCGTGCTGGCCCAAGTGTGCAAGGCCTGGCGGCGCGTGCTCTACCAGCCCAAATTCTGGGCAGGCCTCACACCTGTGCTGCATGCCAAGGAGCTCTACAATGTGCTGCCTGGTGGCGAGAAGGAGTTTGTGAACCTGCAGGGCTTCGCTGCGCGTGGCTTTGAGGGTTTCTGCCTGGTTGGCGTCTCCGACCTGGACATCTGTGAGTTCATCGACAACTACGCCCTCTCTAAGAAGGGTGTCAAGGCCATGAGCCTCAAGCGCTCCACCATCACGGATGCTGGCCTGGAGGTGCGCCCCACCGTTGGCCTGGAAGGGACAGGGATGGGGTGGGCAGGGCCAAGCAGCTGCACCTGAGCTGGTGTGTGTGTGTGGGTGGGGGAAGGGCTGCCCCCAGAGGGAACTTGGGCATATGAGGAGCAAAGTAGCTGAGGGAAGCACCAGTGCTCTGAGGATCGTGGCTCAGGGGTGAGGGGAAGCAGGACTGGTTACATAATTTGGGGGACCCAGTCCAGAATGAAAAATTCAAGTCCCTTGTTCAAAGATGACTAAGAATTTCAAGACAGCAACATCAAAGCAATCAATCAAATGGGAGGCTCTTCTAAGCTCAGGGCCCTACATGCCTGTGAGGCCAGCCTTGGGTGGGGAGGGCGCTGAGGGGGAGCAGGTGCACGGGTCAGAGGAGCAGCTGTGCTGGCAGCCCCTTCCCCAGGGCCAGGACTCTAACCAGCAAATCATAACACCAACTGCTCTCCCAGCACCTGCTCTGGGAAGGCCCTGAGCTCCCAGATCCCCTGTGCTCTGCCTCTTAGAATGTTGCTGTGAGGTGACAAACACACTGTAAAGTGCACTTGTCACGGCGCAGCCTGATGCATGTTTTACACACATCTACGTTCGAGAACCCTGCTTCCTGCCCCTCAGTGGGCTCCTGCCACCCTCACCACGCCCTGCTGCCTGCCCGCCTGCAGGTGATGCTGGAGCAGATGCAGGGCGTCGTGCGCCTCGAGCTGTCGGGCTGCAACGACTTCACCGAGGCAGGGCTGTGGTCCAGCCTGAGCGCGCGCATCACCTCGCTGAGCGTCAGCGACTGCATCAACGTGGCCGACGACGCCATTGCGGCCATCTCGCAGCTGCTGCCCAACCTGGCCGAGCTGAGCTTGCAGGCCTACCACGTGACGGACACGGCGCTGGCCTACTTCACAGCACGCCAGGGCCACAGCACGCACACCCTGCGCCTGCTCTCCTGCTGGGAGATCACCAACCACGGCGTGGTCAACGTGGTGCACAGCCTGCCCAACCTCACCGCGCTCAGCCTCTCCGGCTGCTCCAAGGTCACCGACGACGGTGTCGAGCTCGTGGCCGAAAACCTGCGCAAGCTGCGCAGCCTCGACCTTTCGTGGTGCCCGCGCATCACCGACATGGCGCTCGAGTACGTGGCCTGCGACCTGCACCGCCTGGAAGAGCTGGTGCTGGACAGGTGCGCGCGTCCCCCACCCAGGGGACACTTGGAGGGCAGGACCGGGGCGGGGCGGGGCAAGGCCGGCAAGCCCTTCTAAGCAGGGAGCCTAGATTAACGGACAGACCTGTAGCTGCGGAGCCCCGGGGAGGGGGTTGAGGGGCGGGCCCTCAGAAGCCCCGGACCTAGAATGGGCTGTAACTGCCAAGCACCTGGGTAAGGGGCGGAGCCTGGCTGGGGGCGAGGCTGTGCAAAGGGAGGAACTATCCTAAGTGCTGCCGGAGGGGACGCCCTGGGAAAAGGAGGAAGGGGTCGGGGCTGACGCGCGGGGCGAGGTGTTCTGAAGGTGGGCAGCGCCCCTCTGTCGCCCCCACAGGTGTGTACGCATCACGGATACTGGCCTCAGCTATTTGTCCACCATGTCCTCCCTCCGCAGCCTCTACCTGCGATGGTGCTGCCAGGTACCGGCCTTCCCCGCCTCCGAAGACTGGGGAGTAGGCAAGGGGAGGTGGGGGACTCGGGCAAAGCCCCCGCGCACACAATCCGCTGACCTGCCGCCGGCGCCCTCAGATCCCGCGAGGAAGTATGGGATCCCTCCACACCCACCCCGGGGTCCTCACCGCCACTCTCCAGCTGCCTCCTGGCTCTTTGGGAAGCCGAGAAACCCCCTTTTTGAACCCCGCCCCCTGCCCCTCCAGCAGCTCCAGGGCTAAGGCCTGACCCCAGCAGTGGGCTCCCCCAGGGCGCGAGCGGAGGTCCTTAACCCGCCCCGCCCTCCCGCCCAGGTGCAGGACTTCGGGCTGAAGCACCTCCTGGCCATGAGGAGTCTGCGTCTCTTGTCTCTGGCAGGTGAGACCCCACCCCACCCCACCCCCACCTACTCCGACTCCGCCAGTCCTGCCGGGTCCCTCGCACTGATTCATACCTGGCGCTGAGTCCCGGGGTCCCCGGCCCCGGTCCAGACAGAGACGCCGGGCGAGCCCCGCCCAGCCCGGCCCCGCCCTCGCGCTGCCCTCGGGCCCCCGCGCGCTCAGCCACCGCCCCGCCTCCCGCCCGCTGCAGGCTGCCCGCTGCTGACCACCACGGGGCTATCTGGCCTGGTGCAGCTGCAGGAGCTCGAGGAGCTGGAGCTGACCAACTGCCCCGGGGCCACCCCCGAGCTCTTCAAGTACTTCTCGCAGCACCTGCCCCGCTGTCTCGTCATCGAGTAGCGCGGGCCTCCCCGCCCCCGGCGCAGGAAGCCGCCACGCTCCCGGCGGGGACGCCTTCTCCCGGCCCTGCCCTCAGGGCAGCCCTCGCGCCCGCGGCCCAGCGCGGGAGGCAGGGCGAACCCAGTGAAAGCCCCGCCCCGCGCCCCTCCTGGCCCCGCCCGGGCCGGGAGGGGCGGCGGGCGGGCCCAGCCCCTCGCACGCACGCACACTCGGGGACTCTGTGCATGCCCCTCGTGCCCGCACTGCACGCCCGCCCTCCACCGCACCACAGCCGCCTCCATCTTTCGTCCGCCCGCTGGGGGGGGGCGGGGGGCGGGGCTCGGTCCTAGGGGGGCGCTTTGAGCTCTCCTGACGGCCCCCCTTACCGCCTTTCCCGCCACACCCCGCTCTGTCTCCCCGCTGTCCCCCCATCTCGGGCAGGGCCCAGAGGGATTGAGGGGAGCTGGGTCCCCCAGGACACAGGGGCCAGAAGAGCCCCAAGGGCTTCCCGCATCTTCCACTGCACCACGCCTGGAGCCCTCGGAGGGGTGCGAGGGGGAACAGGCCACCGCCAAAGCCATGGCCCGCCAAGGAGCCCAAGTCCCACCCGCCCTTGCCCCAGCTCATGCCAGCCTGACCCAAGAGACCTCCCCTTTTCCTTAACCCCCGTGTGAGGCAGCCCCCTGCTCGCCCCACCCCCACCTGCAGGCCTACAGGTCCTTGGGCCAGGCTAGGGCAGAACTGTATTTGAGGGAGGGACAGACTGGCTGACCACCATCTTGCTATAATCAACATTAACCCAGCCGGCTGTAGCTTACCTCAGCTGCGGGGGGGGATACAACCACCTTGAGAGACCACAAGCTGGAGCGACCCTCAGGCCCCGCAGGCCTTGCACGCAGTCCTGAGTGGACCCCACACCACAGCCCCTGTAGTCACCAGGGCCCAGTCTCCTCAGTGCCACACTGCACCCCGGGCGGGTCTCTGTCAGGTGGAAGCTGGACAAGCGGGCCCAGCCAAGACAGGATCAGTGCTAGCAGGCAAGTCCAGTCTTACAAGTGGCCAGCACACCCTCAGCATCCAGAGGAGGGAGGGCTCCTTTCGAGCTGCCCCCCTCCCCTCCCCAGCTTCCCAAACCTCTGCCTGCCCAAAGGGGCTCTGGCCATGTTCTGTCCAATCCCAAGACACATGTGAGTCCTGGGGGGATGCTGGCACATCTTGGCAATTGCTGAGGAGGGGGCTGGGACCCCTTCCCATCCCAACCTTGGAGCCCCAGGAAGTACAGTGCCCACACCCAATCTTGGGACACCCCCCATCTGGTTGGAAGAAAGTAACCAGTTTCCAGAGAGCCAGAGAGTGAGAGAGAGCGAGAGAGCGAGAGAGCGAGAGCGCACGAGCGAGCGAGAGATGCTGTTGAAGCAGAGAAAGAGTTCAACAGCCCAAAGATTTCCCTGTCCTGGAGTGCCCGCAGGAGGCTCCGGGGCTGAGGTGGTCAGGAGCCAGTTTCTTCAGCCCCTCCTCCTCACAGCTCCCTAGTGGGGAGGAGGCAGCTGTCCATTTGTCCAAAGTATTAATGCAACTGAAGCTGTGATATTTCCAACGATGTAGGAGGAAAAATTAAGGGGAGAGAGGAAAACAAACAAAACCAACCAACCCCTAAAACCATTTTCTTATTGTACATAACGACCTCATTCTCCTGTATATGCGGAAGATATAACCTTATATTTGGTAAGTGTTTCTTGTGCTATTTTATCACGTGACCTGTTTATAAAAATATATATTAAAAAAGTTGTAAAAACACGCGTCTGAGTTGTTTCTAGGTCATGAGACCATGGCAAGGGAAGGTGTATCTGCTCTGGGCGGCCCCAGGCTCTGGATTCTTGTGCACCTCTCCACTCATCAGACTTACTGGTTCTTTCAACACGTACAGGCCGTGCCACGTACCAGACTGGAAACACAGCAGTGACCAACCCAGAAGGTCCTTAACCCTTCATTGCCTATGGGGGAAGTGAATGATGCTAAAGCCATTATATATAATATTAACCTCAAAATATCCAGCTTCTTGGGGCGCCTGGGTGGCTCAGTCAGTGAAGCGGCTGCCTTCCGCTCAGGTCATGATCTCAGGATTCTGGGATCCAGCCCCACATCAGGCTCCCTGCTCAGCCGGGAGTCGGCTGGCCCCACCCCAGTCATGCCCGCGCTCTCTCTCACTCAAATAAAATCTGAAAAGAAAAGAAGAAAAAAAAGAAAAGAAAAGATCTAGCCCACTCTGCCAGAAGAGAAAAATGAGCTTCCAGGGCGCCGGGACAGGCGCAGCGCAGGCTGCGGGGTTCCCATGAGAGGAACCAGGGTAGACGACTGGAGGGATTCGGACTCGTCAGGGGTGGCTGGACTTGCTGGGGAAGAGATGGGCACGAGTATGAAAACACTGTGGCAAAAAGGCCAACCGCAGAGGCGGGACGGGGGGAGCCCAGCGCAGCGCCTCTACCTCCGCCTCCCCCAGCTCAGCTCCCTGAGCCGGAACGCTTGCGGTGTGGGTGCCCGCTTCTGGTGAGAGGCTGGCAAGAAGGGACCACTTCCGGCGAGCAGGGAGGCGGGGAACGGGAAAGAGAAGGGCTGCTTCCGGCGCGGCGGTTCCGGCCAGGCCCGGCCCGGCAATTTTAGGAGATGGTTCTGGTGCCCACGGAGGGAGAGGCTTCTCGGAGCCCTCGGGCCGCGTTCCCGCCGCCTCCGCTCCCCGGCGCGCGCCGCTCTCAGTGCTCCGCGCCGCCGGCCTCTCGTCCGGCGCCCCCGGCCAGTGTCCTCAAGCTCCCTAAACAGCTCGGCCCTTGACGTCCGTGTGTGTCCCCCGCGCCCCTCTGCCCCTCCCTGGAGGCCCCGGGACGCCCTGTGTGGCCTGGGAGGGACTCCCTCGCTTTCTTGCAGGGACTGACTGGCCGAAAGCCCAGCCAGTGACCGCCCTGATCTGTTCGGGGGATGGAGCGGTGGCCCGGGCTGGGACTGACCAGGTAGGGTCTCCCGGGAAGGCAGACGGGCCGGCCGAGCTCCGGGGCAGCGATGTCTCCTCCTCACTGACTAGCAGCGAACTGTTCTGGACAGGCTCACCCAGACTGACCCGCCCAGGACGAAGCAATTTTGGGGGCCCCAACCAGGGTGAAGGGTCTGAACTGACCGGCCCCTCCAGGCTGACCAGGCCAGCCCACTTCACCGACCTCGTGCCCCCACCCCCCGTGCAGCCATGGAGAAGATGTCCCGAGTGACCACAGCCCTGGGTGGCAGCGCACTGACGGGCCGCACTATGCACTGCCACCTGGATGCACCAGCCAATGCCATCAGCGTGTGCCGTGATGCAGCCCAGGTGGTCGTGGCGGGGCGCAGCATCTTCAAGATCTATGCCATTGAAGACGAGCAGTTTGTGGAGAAGCTGAACCTACGTGTGGGCCGCAAGCCCTCACTCAACCTGAGCTGCGCGGACGTAGTCTGGCACCAGATGGACGAGAACCTGCTGGCCACGGCGGCCACCAATGGCGTGGTGGTCACGTGGAACCTGGGCCGGCCATCCCGCAACAAGCAGGACCAGCTGTTCACGGAGCACAAGCGCACAGTGAACAAAGTCTGCTTCCACCCCACTGAGGCCCACGTGCTGCTCAGCGGTTCCCAGGATGGCTTCATGAAGTGCTTTGACCTCCGCAGGAAGGACTCTGTCAGCACCTTCTCGGGTGAGACCCTGGAGGCGGGCCGGGCAGGTGGAGAAGTGCGTCGTGTGCATCAGAGATCTTCAGAAATGCTCCCAGAGAGCACTAGAAGAGTGGGTGAGGGTCAGCACGGGAGGGGCACCATATGGGACCAGGGAGAGGGCAGAGCCTGAGCAGACTACAGCCAACCTGAGCTGCTGAGCAGAGGGTTTGTTTTGCTGCCCAGAGCTCCAGGCCACTTCACAACAGGAAGCCCACCGGGACCTCCAGGGTCCTCAGCTCAGGTTTGGAGAGGAGGTGGGGTATGCTGCCTGGCACCCTTTCCCAGCAGGCCCAGCTCCTTGGCAGCTGGCCTTGAGCCAGCTATCCCTTGTGCACCTTGAAGAGACCAAACAAAGCATGGGGCAGAAGCCTCAGTCGCCTCAGAGAATTGGGGGCCTCTTAAGACAGACCCTGAACTACCTGTGCTGTGGAAAAGCTAGAGTCCTTGAAGGCTCTTGGGTGGTGGTCCATGGGGGTGGACATAGACCTTTAAGGTCTCCAGTCCCGTGGGGCTGGCCCAGCTGTTCCAGCTCAAGGTGAAGGGATGGGGCAGAAGTTAGGGCACCCTCATCCAGGCCTCCTTGGGCCTCCCTCAGGGGAGTGCGTACAGATAGCACAGTGAGGCTTCTCTTTGCTCACTGCTCTGATAGCCGGTCCTGAAGCCGGGCCACTGCTCTGTGCAAGGACTGATGTCAAAAGCACAATCCAGGAGAGGATCGAGGTCCAGGTTTTGGGTTCAAAAACTACACAGTGCCTGGCATCCTGCTTCCCGGCCTAATCTACCCTATCTTCTCTGTGAAGCCTCTTCTCGCCACCCACCACCCCAGGGCAGGCTTAGCAGTGTCTACCCCACCTTCTAGGCCTCCCCACCTTGGCCGCAGGCAGGCATGTGACCACAGTCCACAGTTTGTCCAAGGGTTCCACCATTGGCTGCTCTCTGTCCCGGAGCCCCTTCACCTTCTCCCCCCATTGACATCCTGCCCACAGGCCAGTCGGAGAGCGTGCGGGACGTCCAGTTCAGCATCCGGGACTACTTCACCTTCGCATCCACCTTTGAGAATGGCAACGTGCAGCTCTGGGACATCCGGAGGCCTGACCGCTGTGAGAGAATGTTCACCGCCCACAACGGGCCTGTCTTCTGCTGCGACTGGCACCCTGAGGACAGGTGTGGGGTGGCATGGCGTGGGGGCACGGGCGGCAGGGTGGGACAGGTGGGCTCCTGGAGGGGCTGCCTCCAGGCCTGTGAGGCAGAGAGTGGGGAGCCATCCCATCCCCGGAGAGGACACTGAGGGCTTCGTGGATCTATTGTAGGGGCTGGCTGGCCACGGGTGGGCGTGACAAGATGGTGAAGGTCTGGGACATGACCACGCACCGTGCCAAGGAAGTGCACTGTGTGCAAACCATCGCCTCAGTAGCCCGCGTCAAGTGGCGGCCTGAGTGCCGCCACCACCTGGCCACCTGCTCCATGATGGTGGACCATAACATCTACGTGTGGGACGTGCGCCGGCCTTTTGTGCCAGCTGCCATGTTCGAGGAGCACCGTGACGTCACAACGGGCATTGCCTGGCGCCACCCACACGACCCCTCCTTCCTGCTCTCGGGCTCTAAGGACAGCACACTGTGCCAGCACCTGTTCCGTGATGCCAGCCAGCCTGTTGAGCGCGCTAACCCTGAGGGCCTCTGCTATGGCCTCTTCGGGGACCTGGCCTTCGCCGCTAAGGAGAGCCTAGTGGCCACCGAGTCTGGGCGCAAGCCTTATGCCGGTGACCGGCGCCACCCCATCTTCTTCAAGCGCAAGCTGGACCCTGCCGAACCTTTTGTGGGCCTCGCGTCCAGTGCCCTCAGCGTCTTTGAGATAGAGCCTGGCAGTGGCAGCATGAGTTGGTTCGTGGACACCGCCGAGCGTTATGCCCTGGCTGGTCGGCCTCTGGCTGAGCTCTGTGACCACAATGCGAAAGTGGCTCGGGAGCTTGGCCGCAACCAGGTAGGTGGGGTGGCCCAGGGACCATGACCTTGGGGGCTCCCCCAACTGCTCTACCCAGACCCTGCCCTGGGTTCAGTGCTCAGCTCTGGCGGCTGCCACCACCAGCCACCATCCTGGTACCTGAGGGTACCCAGTGCCATCACTGGGGTGCAGGCTTGAAGCCTCCTCTTGTGGCTCATTTTTGCTTTTGGATTTCCCAAGGTGTCTGACCCCACAGAGGCCCACATAGCTTTTCATTGTTTTCCTGGGACCACAGGCTCATTTCCATGTTGGCTGCCTCCAATTTCTGCTTCCTATCCCCTCGTAGGACAGAGACTTAAGATTTTTGTCTTTGGCATAGACTTTAGTTTCCCCAGCTGTGGTGGACCAGAATGTTGGGTGTCTGGGGCAGCTGAACATTGAGAGTCTGTGGTTCCATCCAGGAGTGGGGGAGGGGGGTGCATGGCATGCCAGGAACCCAGGCCCCTTTTGAGTGCCTGGCGCCCGTCCCTAGGTGGCACAGACCTGGACCATGCTGCGGATCATCTACTGTAGCCCTGGCCTGGCGTCTGCCACCAGCCTCAACCACAGCGTGGGCAAGGGCAGCTCTTGTGGCTTGCCACTCATGAACAGGTAGACATCTGGGGGTGGCTCTCCTCAGAGGGTGGGGCTGTTGGAACCCATCTACCAATTGGCCTTCCCTGCCCCCAGTTTCAACCTGAAGGATATGGCCCCAGGGTTGGGCAGTGAGACCAGGCTGGACCGTAGCAAGGGTGACACACGGAGCGACACGGTGCTGCTTGACTCCTCAGCCACACTCATCACCAATGAGGGTAGGCTGGGGGGGCGTACAGAGCATTGATGGGAGCGGGGCTAGGGCATCCCAGAATCAGCTTCTCTGGAACGTCCCCTACCTCTGTTATGGGCAGATAACGAAGAGACAGAGGGCAGCGACGTGCCTGCAGACTACCTGCTGGGCGATGTGGAGGGCGAGGAGGATGAGCTGTACTTGTTGGACCCGGAACATGCACACCGTGAGTCAGGGCTGGGGGTGGGGCTGGCTGGTGGGGCCAGGGGCTCAGACCCTGTCCCTGCCTTGCAGCAGAGGACCCGGAGTACATGCTGCCCCAGGAAGCCTTCCCACTACGTCACGAGATTGTGGACACTCCGCCTGGCCCCGACCACCTGCAGGACAAGGCCGACTCGCCCCACGTGAGCGGCAGTGAGGCTGACGCGGCTTCCCTGGCGCCCGTAGACTCCTCCTTCTCGCTCCTCTCCGTCTCACATGCTCTCCACGACACCCGGCTGCCCCCCGACTTCTTCAGCGCCCTGGTGTGTGACATGCTGCGCTTCTATGCCGAGCAAGGTGACGTGCAGATGGCCGTGTCCGTGCTCATCGTGTTGGGTGAGCGCGTGCGGAAGGACATCGACGAGCAGACGCAGGTGGGTGACTGGGACGGGGGAGGACCTCCCTGCCCACCCCCAGCGCCCCCCCAGGGTGCCCACCTCCAGACCTCTGCCTCCCTCCCCTCCCCACCAGGAGCACTGGTATACGTCCTACATCGACTTGCTGCAGCGCTTCTGCCTCTGGAACGTGTCCAACCAGGTGGTGAAGCTCAGTACCAGCCGCGCCATCAGCTGCCTCAACCAGGCGTCCACCACTCTGCACGTCAACTGCAGCCACTGCAAGCGGCCCATGAGCAGCCGCGGCTGGGTCTGTGACCGGTGCCACCGCTGCGCCAGCATGTGCGCCGTGTGCCACCACGTGGTCAAGGGTCTGTTCGTGTGGTGCCAGGGCTGCAGCCACGGCGGCCACCTGCAGCACATCATGAAGTGGCTGGAAGGCAGCTCCCACTGCCCCGCGGGCTGCGGCCACCTGTGCGAGTACTCCTGACCCGTCCGCGCTGGGCTCGGGGCGGGAGGGGCTGGGCGTGGCAAGCCAATAAAGGAAGCAGGAGCCGCAGTTTGAGGCTCCCTGTCCCCCGCCGCTCGCGCCGCCGATGGCCCACGCCCCGCGCCTGGCGACTTCGGTGGGCGGGTGGCAGCGTCGCCATGGGAACTGGCAGCAGCCGCTAGCCCCTCTCCCGCGGCTTTCGCACCGCCTTCCGAAAAAACCCTCCCTTCCGGGGCGGGACAAAGGCACTGCTTCCGGGGCGTGGCTGGCGCCGTTACCGCGACGGTGGAATTCCCGGCATGCCTCGCGGCGGCGGGCTCATGGCGCTGGGGGCGCGGCTGCGGTTCCTGTTGGCGGTGTGGACGCTGGCTGGTCTGGCCCGGCGCAACGCCGGGGAGGCGGGCGATGGAGGGTGGTGAGCGGCGCCGGCGGCCAGGGCGGGCCGAGGCGGGCCGCGCGGTGGGGCGGGCCGCGGCAGGCCGCTGACCCGCTGTGCCCGCAGGCAGCGGCGCGGGCCCGGGGCGCCGGCGGCCCTGGCGGAGGAGCAGTGCTGCGCGGTGGAGCGTCGGGCGGACCTCAGCTACTCCGAGTTCGTGCAGCAGTACGTGCGTCCCCTCGCACTGGCCACCCCTCCCACCCCCCAGTGCGTGTCCCCCGGAGCGCTGCTGTCCCCACTCCCTTGTTTGCCTACCCATCCGCTCGGACTCCCCTAGTCCACCCCCACCCCCTCCTTTGAGCTAACGCGAACGGGCGAGGCTGAGACCTGGCCGTGACTCTGCCCTTCCAGCTACGCCTTCTCCAGACCCGTCATCCTGCAGGGGCTCACAGACAACTCGGTGAGTGCTGGCGCCCCTCCTGGCCACTTGTCACCCGTGCTGGGCCCGGCCCTTGAGTGTCTTCCCCACCTCCTCAGAGGTTCCGGGCTTTGTGCTCCCGAGAAAGGCTACTGGCCTCCTTTGGGGACAACGTGGTTCGGCTGAGCACTGCCAATACCTACTCCTACCGGAAAGGTGAGCTGCCCCACCCTGCGGCCTAGCCTGCTTGTCAGCATCTTGCAGGTAGCTTCGGCCAGTCCTGATCAGCTCCTTTCCTGCAGTGGACCTGCCCTTTCAGGAATATGTGGAGCGTTTGCTGTATCCCCAGGACCCTACCTCCCTGGGCAACAGTGAGTCCGATTTGGTTGGCCATGGGCTGGGATGGGGGCACCCAGGTACCAAGATCTCTGCGCCTCCCATGTTCTTTGTTGGCAGACACCTTGTATTTTTTTGGGGACAACAATTTCAGTGAATGGGCATCGCTCTTTCAACACTATTCCCCACCACCATTTAGTCTGCTGGGTACCACTACTGCTTACAGCTTTGGAATTGCAGGTGGGTACCCTGCAAATGGGATTTGGAAGGGAAGAGAAGACTGTAAGTTGGGCTGCCTCAGCAGCTGCTCATAAATGACCCCATAGGAGCTGGTTCTGGGGTGCCCTTCCACTGGCATGGGCCCGGGTTCTCAGAGGTGATCTACGGCCGCAAGGTCAGCACAGGATGGGGGCTGGGGCTTGGGGCTTACTGACTGCAACAGAGTGACCTTACTGCTCCCATCCTCAGCGCTGGTTCCTATACCCCCCTGAGAAGACACCAGAGTTCCATCCCAACAAAACCACGCTGGCCTGGCTTCAGGACGTGTACCCAACCCTGGCACCATCTGCGAGGCCCTTGGAGTGCACCGTCCAGGCTGGTGAGGTCAGTAGGTGGCAGGAAGGGGCCAGGCTGGACCAGACGCCATCAACTAATCCCTGTGCCCCACCCCCACCTCCCAGCAGGTGCTGTATTTCCCAGACCGGTGGTGGCATGCCACGCTCAACCTGGACACCAGTGTTTTCATCTCTACCTTCCTCAGCTAGCCAGAGTGGGCGGCTGGTGAGCCCAGCACACACCAGCGCACACCCCTAGAGTGCTCACAGATTTTATTACAGGACAGTGGTGGCAACAGCCCACCCTCACCTGCTGTTTCTGGCCCAGATGGGGATGGAGGTGGGGCTCACGGTCCAGCAGCAGAACTGATGGGGGGGGTTGGGGACACCAGGGCAGGGATCTAGGGACACCAACTATGTACAGGGACTGGAGCTACTGCTCCAAAGCCCTCCTGGGCCAGAGCACTAGGCAAGGCGCGCAGCCCTGGCCTTGCCTGGCCTCAGTAGTCCTCCACCCAGCCGTTCTCGGAGATGAAAGCATCAATGACCTCTTTCATGGCCAGGTTGGGGATGAGCTGTTCCTGGGTCAGGGGGCTCCGGGTGACAGGGTCAAAGTGGCCCACGCGCTGCAGTGTGCAGTGACAACAGGGTCAGAAAGTGCTCAGTGGTTATGGGTCCTGCTCCCAACACTTTGTGAGCCCTCACCTGCAGATGCTCCTCAATGTCCTTTCGGTCATAGGTGATGCCGCTAGGCGTGATGCACGGTTCCCGCATGAGCTCAAAGCTGATCTTGCCACACAGGTAGTCCGGGATGTCTCGCTTCTGCAGCACATGGGGTGAGGTCAGGCACCAGGACAAGGACACTGCTCTAATTCCTGCTACCCAGAGGACAGACAGCTTACCTTTCTCTTCTCGTCCACCTGGGAGAAAAGCTCATCCATGTCTGCTAAGTACTTGTCCTGCGAAGAACCAAGCAGCTACGCGTGGGCCAGATGGCCCATCCCCCTTCCCCTGGCACAGGCACCCTCCCGTCACAGGCACACAAACACGCACACATCCACACGTGGGCTGGGGCACCCTCACGTGCTTGGCCTCGATGCAGGCCTGCTGGGCCCGGATGTGGCCATCGTCCTCATCACCCTCATGGTTCCGCTGACATTCTTCTAGTTCCCTGGGGGTCGACCAGGAGCTAGTCAGAAATGGGTCTGGCCAGAAGAGATCACACTCCACCCCAACCTTGGGCTCGTTCAGGTCTCGCTTCCCTCCATCTCCTGCTTGCCAGTGTTGGCCTTCAATAAACACTTGTGTTCTTGACTCAGAGTTAACCCTGGAGTGCTGACTTGGGGGTGGGTGGGGCCCTGGAGCCTGCCACTACCACAGCCCACCTCTCCCGCTCGGCCACAATAAGCCGAGTGAGGTAGGAGTGCAGCTCGTTTTCCTGGTGGATGCGCCGCTCCTCGATGCTGTTCCAGCGCTTTTTCTTAGCGATGCGCAGAGCACTAGGGATGTCATCCCCAAAGTTGAGCCGTTGCTCCTTGGCCAGGTTGTAGGCTGGGGGAATAGGGGCTTCAGGTCACCGGGCCAGTCCATCCACCCGATCCCAGGCACCCCTGTAACCTGACAACCTGTACGCCCACCTCGCTGCAGATTGGCAATGGCCTCATCATAGCTCTCCATCTCTAGCTGGCATTGCCCCAGGAAGAAGTGTGCCTTCACAGACTGCCCGTCCAGTTCCAAAGCCCGCCGGCAGTCTGCCAGAGCCTGCTCATGCTGCTGCATCTTCAAGTAGCACAATGCCCGGTTGGTGTAGTACACTGCCACCAGGGGATTCCGGGTCTGGGGACCAAGGCCAGGCCAGCCAGCATGAGGGAGTGAACTCTGGGCCCCTTCTCCGTCCTAGGCCCTGTCCTAGGCCCAGTTTAGAGCCCACGACTAGAATCAAGACACCAGAAACTTCTCAGCTTCAAAGCCCCTGCGTACCGAGGACTGGTGGAGGATAAACTCCCGCTCCTGAGGCCTGCATGAACCCACCCTCTTGACTCCCAGCAGGTCTAGGAAACCCAAGTTTCCAAGACCCGTGGAGATCCCCAGCTGTGGGCCTGGGGTTCTCAAGGGACAAGGATCCCTGGTCCTCGGTCTGGGGGCCTCAAACACCTTGAAGCTCCCACCCGCCACAGTTCTCCAGCAGCCAGCAGCGGCTCGAGAGCCGCGGCCTTGACCCGACTGAAACAAGACCATCACTGAGCTCTCAGGGCCCAAACGCCCCCGCGTACGAACCAAGAGCCTCCTAAGGTCCGGCGGGAATGGCCGGGCAGGGGCTCCGGGGAGGACGCGGGGCCGAAGCCCGGGCCCCGCCCCCTCCCCTGGCCCGGACGCCGGTCCCTTCCCCCGGCGCGGGCGCACTCACGATGGCGCGGCCGTAGCAGGCCGCCGCCTCCGGGTACTTGCGGCCCACGAAGAGCCGGTTGCCCTGCTCCTTGAGCTCCTGCGCGCTCGGGCTCTTTTCGGGGCTTCCGCCGCCGGCGCCCAGCCGCGCGCCGCCCTCCTTCTCCTCCTTGCCCTTCATGGTGCCGCGCGGCACAGCCTGGGCTTCGCTCCCAGGCTCCGCGTCTGGCCCGCCCTACGCCCGCAGCCCGAGCCCGCAGCCCGAGCCCCCGATCCGCTCGGGCCCGGTCCAGCGATCCGCCACCGGAACTTCCGGCCGCGCGGGGCGGGGACAGTGGGGCGGGCGGACGCGCAGTGGGCGGGGACGCGCATGCGTTCGACGGGCCGCGGGGGGGAGGTGGGGGGAAGGGGGCGGAGCCCGTTGGGAGCATGCGCTCGAGGCAAAGCGACCCGCGACGTCGAAGCCCGGAGCGGCGCCAGGACCGCGGCCCGGCAGCTCTCGGCTCCGCCCCGCCGAGGCCCCGCCCCGCGCGCGAACATGGCGGCTGCACGCGGGCTGTGGGCCTGGAGCCGCCGGGCCGCCGTCCTGGCCGCAACGGGGAGGTGCTGTGGGCGCGCGCGGACCGCCAGGGGCGGCTGGAAGCCTTGGACCGATGATAGGGCAGGGGGGGGGCGGTCAGTAGGGCGGACGACCCCCGTTGTCCGAGTCTCCGTCACCGCCTTTCCCCAGGCACCGAGAGGAGTGCCCGCGGCCACCGAGGGCCGAGCGGAGAAGCACGTGACACGAAATGACCTGGAGCGGCCGCGGGCGTGGAAGCTGGTGGTGAGGGCTTCCCACGTGCGGGGCGGGGCCTGGCGGCGTGGGCGGAGCCTCCTCGTGGTGCGCGTCCGCTTGGTGAGGTCCACCACCCGTGACCCCCGAACCCACCCCGGCCCGGATTAGCCGGGAGAGCTGGGCGCCCCGCGGGGTCGCGGGCTAGCGGGCCGGATCTGGCCGGTTAGTGTCCTTGCCTGTGAAATGGGCCCATGGCCATGTCCATGACGCTGGGGGTCCCTGGGAAGGGCAGCCCTACGCCGAGCTTGTCCAGACCCTGGTAGGGCACGAGTCCTGGCTGCAGAGGCTCCGGAGGCGGCAGCCTTCGTGTCCCACCGCGCAGTGGCCGCAGTACACCCTCAGCAGAGGTGAGGCAAGGGTGCAGTATGCAGAGCTGTACGGGAGGATCGAGTGGCCAATGTCCCCGGGCCCCAGCCTCCCTCTGCCCCTCCCTAGGCAGTCCCTCAGGGCTGTGGACCCCTCACCATGTGGAGACAGCAGTACGGACATGGCCTGTGGGGCAGAAGCTGTGCCCTGACCTGCTGCCCGGCCTTGGTCCCAGCCCGGCCATTCCTGAGGACATCACTGCAAGCCAAGAAATGCAGAACGCTGGCTGCCTGAACTTGGCTGTGGCCCAGGGCCTGCTCACCTGCCCGCAACCTCAGGCCACAGGTTTCTCTGGAGGGCGGGCTGTCCAAGCAAGAGGCTGGCTGCTGTAGGATCTCAGTAAATGCTTGCTGAACTCACACCTGACTGTGAGGACCCCAGCTTCTCCCCACACTCATCTTTCTCACACACACACACACGCACACACATCTCGTACCAGTGCAGAGGAGAAGGGGGAAGCTCAGGCTGTCCACATGTCCGCAGTCTGTTCAGTGAGTGGGAGGGAGGCTGGCCAGCCCCCAGAGCCCCGGTACAGCCACCTGCTGCAGTGTAAAATATTTATTCATTCTCCAAAAAGGCTCAGACCGCAAATCGTGGGGGAGAGGCCAGAGCAGGGTCTCCTCTGGGGCCACACCTGGGGACCTCCCCTGCCTGGCTAGGCAGTCCTACCTCCCCATGCCTGGGAGGGGGCGGCCAGGGCTGATGTAAGGCTTGGCCTGGACTCAGTGAGTTACAGGGGCCACCTGCCCCCCACAGAGGAGAAGCAGTCTTGAGATGTACATTCACAGAGGGTGGACATGCAGACTCGCCTGGTGGCCAGCCCACATACACCTGTGCCCTGGCCCGTGTGGCCCTGGGAAGCCCATCAGGGTGGTGGAGGGATGTGGGCGCCCAGCAGGTCGTAGGCGAAGATGTTCCAGAAGATGGCAAAAAGCAGGAAAGTACCATAGGCGAGCAGCACCACCCACCAGCCACACTGGTCCTGCAGGCGTTCCTCATAGCTGCGCAGGATGGTCAGACCCATGCTGACCCCTACCACTGCACCTGCCAGGTGTGCCATGAAGCTGGGCTGGGGGCCTGAGGCAGGCAGTGGTGGGGAAAAGCGGAGCCACACGGCCCGGCCCACCTCGGAACTCACTGCAGAGAAAGGTGGCAGGTGGGAGGCACCCTGGCCTTAGGCTGAGGCCCCCCAGCCCCCTGACCCCCTACTTACTGCACACCAAGGCCAGCACCATCCTCAGCAGCTTGTAGGGACACCTCATCCCAGCCCAGTTCTGATGGGGCGTGAGACAGAGGCTGTGAGGCAGGCCTTGTGGGCCCCTCCCCACACCCGCCCCGCAGTCTGCCCTATTACCATGACGACGTTGGCCAGGTGTGCCGAGCACAGGGCGTAGACCCCACCAGAGCCCCCCACCACAGGGGCCCGCATGTCGGTAATGGAGACAGTCAGGGAGCCTGTGTGAGCAAAGGGAGAGCCATGAGGGTGAGGCTCACCAGCATGATGGCCAGGGGGCACGTGCCTGCCTCACCTGCCAGCACACCGGCCAGGTAGAGCAGGCTGATGCGGAGCAGACCATGCACCATCTCCAAGGGCACCCCAATCATCAGCTGCAGGAGCGCGTTGAACCCTAGTTGCTCCAGGCTAGCCATGTGGGTGTAAACAGATGTAAGGTCAGGTGTCAGGCCACCAGTCCCTGACTCGAGGGACTGAGTCCTCCTGACTCCAGAGGGATGCGGCGGTGGGCCCCCACTCACCCAACATGCATGAACATATAGGTGAGGAAGCGCCAGGCTCGAGCGCGGTGGCCAGGGTGGTACACGAGGGGGCTCTTCATGTACTCAGGATGGTAGGTCTGCAGCACCCACTTGTTGAGACGAGCCCCGTAGCACAGGAACACGATGATCTGGGAGGGAGAGGCGTTAGGGCCAGGCAGGGCCAGGCCCGTGGGCGGCTCCTGGGTGGCAGACAAATGGGCACACCTGGGCAAGGGTGACTGAGGCCATAAACACGGGGGGTGGGCAGCTGCGGTGTCTGTAAAAGTACCAGTGGCGGTCCACCTCTCGGGGCAGGATCTCGTAGGCAACGTAGCGCACAAACCGCTTGTAGACACCCAGGCCTGGCTCATCCAGCAGCCCGTCCCGGGGCAGTGCCCTCTGTCCATTGGCGATGGCCCGCTTAAAGCTGCTTGAGCGTTTACTGCTGATCTGGAGGGGGGCGGCCCTAAGCACGGACCACCATACTCCCCGCCCCCCCCCCGAGCCACCCTGTCCCCTTGGCCCACCCAGCTCCTGGTAGAGTCTGAGTCCCTGCCCCAAGTCCACACTCCTCCCTGGTGGGAAGGGCAGGGAGTGGGGGCTGCCTGCCCACCCCACTCTGGCCAGGCACTGTGCCTGCCAAGGCCTAGGCCCCTACCCCTGCTGTCCACCCATTATGGCACTGACCAGGTCCACCAGCTCCTGGTAGCAGACCTGGCCCCGCTCGTTGCTCTGGGCCAAGGCCACCAGCATGTCCAGCTTGGCCGGGTCCAGGGGCAGCTCATGGCTGTGCACCAGGCCAGTGAAGGTGTCCGCACCGATGAAACCTGTGTGCTCAGGGTCCAGCTGCTGGGGTGGGGGGGGCCATCGGCCAAGGCTTGAGAGTGGGTCAGGCTTCCAGGCCACAGGGCTGGGCCAGGCCAGGTGGGAGAGGCAGGCTCCAAGCACCCTGGGGCCAGACCTCTGCACCCACATGGTCCCAGGAGCTGCCAGGGCACCAGTGCCTGGGTCCCAGGGCTCTAGCTCTTAGGGGCCTCCCCACCTCATTTCTGCCATGCCCATTCTCCTAGAAGGGTAGGGCCAAGGTCTGAGGACAATCTCCCTCCCTTCTATACCTCCCCAGGGACCCTGATCTGGCTCGCCCTCTCCTGGAGTGTCTCAGGCAAGGGCCAAGGTCGTGGGAGGGGGCTTGAGAGTAGGCGCCGAGCGGCGGGACTGGACCGCGGCTCTCTGGGAGCTCCGTCGCCTCGGCCCAGTCCAGCGGCGGAGGGCTGCGGCGGGGGTTGTGCGGGCGCCCCCCACCCACCCACGCCACGCACCTGCTCCTGGATAAGCTGCAGCAGCGAGCTCCTGTCCATAGAGCCAGGCGGGGCCGGGGGCCGGGGTCGGCGGCCGCGGCCGGAAGGGGCTGCTCTGCGGACGACTCCGCTCCGCCCCGGCCCGCCCGCTCCGCCCGCTCCGTTTGGCGCCGCGTCACGGAGCCGGAGCCGCCCGCCCGTGCGCGCGCGCTGCCGCCGCCGGCCCCGCCACGCGCGGTCGGGACACGCGCGCGCCCCGCATGCGGACGCGCCCCAGGAAGGAACGGCCCTGACCGGAGCTTGGGTCTCGCCGCCCGCCTCACCGCCTTCCCGTTCCGGGCTGGGGCTGTTCGTCAAGCGGGGACAGCGGCTGGGAAACTGAGTCACAGCGCAGCACCCCACCTCCCTCCCTCGCGAGCCCCTCTGCTTGGGACTTGAGCGCTGAGGCCACCTCCTCACTGCCTGTGATTCTCAGGCCAGAGTTCTCTGAAGGTGCCAGCTGGCCTGCCAGACACACTTGTTTGCTGGCAGCAAGGCACCAGGGCCCCACCATGTGGGCACCAAACCCGACAGGGCAACTAGCAGGGGTCCGTGGGGGAGACTTGGTGCAGCCATCCCGCTCAGTGCACGGGCACCAATCCACAGCACCCACCTGGGACTGGAGACCCCTGACCGCTCCTGCAGGCTCAATGCTGGACAGTGGGACCTCCAGTTCCGGGAGTTCATGGGGAGCCTAGGCAGACCCGTGGGCGATGGTGCAGAGACCCCAACGCACAGGGATGCAGCCGGGATAGGAAAGGGTCCCTGCTTCCTGGAGAGGGCAAGCCGACCCCTCCAGGGATGGAGGTGACAGAGACCATGGGGATGTGTCATCACAGCAAGCTCCTCAAGGGTCACTCAAAATCCTGATGCCAGTCAACACTGGGGCCGCTGGGCCTCAGGAGGAACCATTGGCCAGAAGGGGCGTCCAGCCCCACCCTAAAGCGGGTGAGCAGCACACCCATGGGACCAGGCCAGCGGGGCTGGGAGGCTGGTGCAAGGACAACTTCAGGGTCAACACCAGACCCTGTCAGGCCGGAGCGTCCCTGTGGAGCAGGAAGCTCCCCCAACCTCCCACAAATAGCCCCTCAGAGCTTGGGGAAGGCTGCCTCGCAGAGAAGGGCCGATGGCAGGCAGGGAGCACCCAGCCACACCACAGGCTCTCTGCTCCAGGCCCCAGAACACACACTGAGTAGATGCCCGGGCCCCACGCTGGGCACCCTCCTCAGTCCAAGACGAGGCCTCTGGTCAGGGTGTGAGGAAACATGGCAGATTTCTCAGGCCAGGCCAACCCTGCACACCAGAAGCTGGGCATCTGGGCACACCCCAGTCCCGCACCAGAGTCCCAGACCCTCAGCACACCTCAGCCAGGCTACTGGGATGCTGAGCTTTGGGGGGCGGGGCAGCCATCAAAAGAGTCTTGCGTATCAGAACCCCTCAGGCCGGTACGGACCTGGATGGATGCAGAGGCTCCTGGAGAGCAGCGGGGCCCCGAGGGAGACCGCAGAATGGGGACCCAGGCCTGGACAGGTGTGGGGCTCAGGAGTGAGGTTTCCAGCCCATGCTGAGACAAAAAACGTGTTTTAGTGGATTCAAGAAATGTCATCTTCAGAAAGCAGGATCCCAGGTGCAAAAGACACAAGTGAAGTTTAATCAGGAGACCCCACCTCATGTCTTCTGGGAGGGGTGAAGTGCTGGGCCCATCTCCAAACCAGGGAGGAGGGAGAGGCCATATCAACCATATCCTTCCCCCACCCCCACCTTTGACCCCCTTCATGCCTACTGGCTGCCTGGGACCAGAAAGGAATGGAGCCCTGAGAATACTTGGGTCTGGGTCACTGGCTTCCTCACCCATGATGCCCAGTTCCTCCAACACATGACACCCAAAGTGGGTGATGCTTGGCATCTGCAGCTGGGTAGGGACACAGGCTACCGGGACCTGGAGGCTGGCCCTTGGGACTCAGGCAGGGAGGCAGGCCGGGTGTCCCCGACAGAAGGCAGGCCCCTCGAGCAGGTGACCCCCACACCAGCACCATGGGGGCCCCTGAGGCCTCATCGGCTCTTCAGCAGGGTCCGGAAGAGTGAGAGGCTGAGGACGGCGGTGACGGCGACTCCAACAACCCCCAGCGTCACTCGCAGCCAGAAGGAGGTGGTGGGCAGCTCGCCAGGGGCCAGGTGTCTGCAGGACAGAGAGGCTGGCTGGGGGCAGATGCCACTGCCCAAGCCCCCACCCCACCTCCTGGGGCTGCGCTCTGCCCGCACAGGGCCACCAGCGGGACTTGGGCCCACGCTACAGCTGCCCTGCTCTCCGGGCAACGGGGACAACTGCTTCCCTAGACAGGGCCTGGCCTCCCACCGCAGGGCTGTGTGCGGGTACCCACGGGCAAGTGGCCATGGCGGCGAGCCGGGTGAACACAGCAGTGCTGAGCCTGGCCGGGCCAACACACGAGAAGGGGGCAGGGGCAGGCAGCCGGTGTCTGCGGCAGAACTCCGTGGGCGACATCCCGGGTGGCGAGATGCCTTCGGGCAGGTCTGCCTTGGAGGAGACAAAGAGGCAGGGGGTCTGCCCGTCCATGTAGTGGCGCTGCAGAAAGGGGGGCTGCATGAGGGTGCCGTCCCGGGTGGCTGAGGCGCGCGGACTGCCCGAGGGGCCCGGGGTGGGGGTGCGGGGTGCCTTGCCTTGTAGACGTCAGCGCACAGCGCAAAGGACCCGGGGTCGCTGCCATCGAACATCAAGCAGGCCACATCACAGGTGGCATCGGGTGCCGTGGCCAGCAGGCTGTCTGCACTCGCCTCGCACAGCTAGACAAAGAGCGGCCTCAGGGAGGGGTGCAGGGTCAGCCCTGTGGGCCATGTTCAGACAGCCCCGCCCAGCGCAGACCCAGGGCGTACGCGGGGACCCCAGCACTCACTATCAGGTACTTCTCCTGCCCGTTGACCTGCACCGTGTTGATGGCATAGACGGCATGCTCCTCGGCGAACTCCCCGGCATCCTGGTGCAGAGCGGGGAGGCGCCTAAAGCTTGCTGGCCTGGACACTGTCCAGAGCCGCCCCCCCCTCCCCAGCCCCGTGCAGATGCTCACCCCCGGGCCACGGCCGAGAAAGGCCTGCAGGAAGGCAGACTTGCCCACTCCGCAGGCTCCCACCACCTTGCACAGGAGAACGTTCCTCTGCGTCTGCCCCTTCTCCTGGTCCAGCCTCTTCTCACGAGTGACTGGGGATGGACAGCCGGGGTGAGTGTGACCAAGGGGGCTGCCAGGGAGGAGCTGGGCTCAGGGCAGGGGCAGGCACCCACCTGTGATGGCATGGGCTTGGGAGTCCTGCTCGCAGAGGGTCGGGTAGCCCAAGTAACCAAGGTGCTCAAGACAGCGCCGGACGTCCAAGTAGGTCACCAGACTGGGGGCGGAAGGGATGGGGTCACGGCCGAGCGGCCAGCACAGGCAGTGTTCCCGCAGGCAGGGGCTGAACTCACGTCCACTGGCAGAGGTACCCATGCAGAGACAGCCGGCCAGCCTTGGTGCACACCTCGAGAGGCAGCTGGGGGCCCCAGGGGGCAGTGGGGAACACGCTGAAGAAGCTCTCCAGCTCTGCAGGCGAGAGGCAGCCATCACGGTCCTGGGAGCAGAGGGGCCGCAGTGACATGTACCTGGAGGCTGACGGGATCGGGGGTGGTGCAGGGTGGAGATCATGACTCCCTTACCTGGTCATGCTTCTCAAACACTCTCTGCACAAACTGGTAGCCAAAGTGGTTGAGCTCGGTGCTGCAGCCTGGGGGCACGTGGAGCCTGTGGGGAATGTGGGGGCTGTCCGGTTCCCAGGGGAGCCCCTTGCCCACCAGGCTCCCCACACCACCCGTGTCTCAGTCTCAGCACAGGGAGGCTCCTGTGCTGCCCCCTCAGCTGAGCACCATGGCAGGAGAGCAGACAGGAATACATCTGGGGCAGGGGGCCATCTGCTTCGTCCTATCCTGACCACCCACAGCGAGACCACTCCTAGAAAGGCCGTCGAGGCCCAATCCCAAGGGCCCCCACTGCAGGTCGAAGAGCCTCCAGGCACCCGCCTGACACTGAGAAGGGAGGCTGAGCCCCACCCACCACTCACGGTGGGTCAAGGTAGTCAGGGGTCAACTCCAGTGTGTCTCCATAGCCGAAGCGTCGCAGGATGGTCCATGTGGTCTCGTGGCGGCCACGTTGGATAAACAGTGTGTTCAAGAAAAGAAAGCCTGTTCCCAAAGAGACAGAAAAGCAGGTAGCACCAAGCACAGCCTGGCCCCCTTCCTGCTCCCAGGGCATGGCAGGGCATCAGGACTCACCGTCCAGGGTCAGCCGGTCATCCCGCACACCTCCTGCCACGTTCTTGCACACCACCATCTTCACATCCTCCAGGGCCTGAGGAGCCAGTGGGTGCCCAAAGCAGGATTTCTGCCCCCGAGGGAAAGTCGCCATCAGCCAGCCAGCCGCCTCAGTGACTGCTCAGCGTCACTAAGGGTACCTGAGGCTGTGCCCTCGAAGGACGGGCAGCACCAGCAGAGGGGGCCGCACCTGGAAAGCGTTGAGCTCCTCGTCACTGAGCGCCTGGTCTAGATCCTGGTCTGAGAGCCTGAAGATGCGCGTGAGGGCCTGGGCACACGCGGGCCTCAGCTGCAGGGACAGCCAGCTCAGCACGCACCCCACGCCACCGCTCCCGCCGGCCTGGCCGCCTCCCCGGTGCCTGCCGCCCACCTGCTTGGCCTCGGGGTCGTAGAGCGGGGCCGTGGGGTGCAGCACTGCTTTCTGCGCGTAGTAGAACAGCTCCGAGATGTTCCTCAGGTTCTTGGCAGAGCACTGGTGGCCGCAGGAACAGACTCAGACACGTGACCAGTACCACAAAACTCAAAGGGGCCCCCCAGAAGAGGCAGGCATGGGGTGTCTTCCAGGAGACCTGGGGAGGTCCGCAGGCCCACAGCTGAGGCCAGCGGCACACGGGCACCTGCCCACGCACCTCCACGCACGTCTCGATCTCAGGGAACTGGCTCATGATGGGCAGCACAGCCTCCATCGAGCTCCCCGGCCGCAGGTCCGACTTGTTGCCCACCAGGATGATGGGGACTCTGGGGGAGAGGCCTATGGTCACCATGGATGGGGAGCTGGCGGGGCCCACCCACCTGGGCCCTGCCCATTACCTGGGGCCCCTCTCAGTCTCCCCATTCACCAGTGGGATCCACTTGGTTCGTATCTGAAAAGCAAGGGCTAGCCATGAGTCTTCACGGCTCCCTCCTGGAACTCGTGCCTGGACGCAGGGAGATCAAGGCCCACTGAGGAACAAAGTCCTGGGCACTGGGAATGTGGCCACTTGGAGAGAACAGTCAGCAGGTGGGACCCCATCTGATCCTAGCAGTTCCCAAACACCCCCAAGGGGCCCTGACTCAGCAACCCAAGGCAGCCCCTTCCACAGACCTGAGTGGTTCAGACTTCTAACCACCCACGTGCTTTGTGGGAAGGCAGGACCACAGGAGCTCCCTGGGGAAGCTGTGGGGTTCCTGCCTACAGGCCCCCAGTGCCCAGAGCCTCAGTCAGCTGGGTGTCCATCTGGAGTCTGTTCAGAGGACAACACGGAGCTGGGTGCCAGCAACAAGGACCTGGGGTGCAGAAGGAGCTCTTGCCCTCACCTTCTCAATGGTGGCCTCCTCAGACACGTCGTACACCATACACACCACGTTTGCCTGTAGGAAAGGAGGTGAGGCACGGCATGACCCCAGGCTTCCTGCTCCACGCCGCCCTTGATGGGACCAGACACCTTGGAACCCCACCCCTCTTGAGCACCTCTCCAGCCAATGTGCCCCAGCCACCATCAGCTGCTCCAACCTGACAAGTCCTCCCCTGTCCGGTTCCACTGGAGCCACCAGGCCTGAGCATGGCAGCTCTGGTGGGTCCCCTGGAAGGCTCAGGACAAACAGCGCCACCCCTAGAACTTGGCACCCTGGCCCCAGCCCTGCATTCCCGTGTCATTTCAGGCAAAGTGAGTGACAAGGACACCACCACAAGGGATGATGGTGACAAGAAGGCCGGGTAGCTGTGGCCTTTACCCTGGCCCAGCAATGCCCAGTACACAGCAGAGGCTCCCCTGGGGAGCTCGATGCAGGCACACGTCTTCCTGATAACAGAGAAGCAGGGCACCCACTACAATCCAGAGGCTAAGAGCACTGCACTGGACTACGGGATGGCGGTACACATAGCCAAAGCACAGAACTGGGTAAGCGATCACTTTGGAGAACACCAGAGGCTGTTGCCCAGGGTCCAGCAAAAAGACAAACAATGGGTGCACAGAGCCATGGAGCTGACCGACCGTGTGGGAAGCAAGGTCCCTCTCCTCCCCAGCTCCCTGCAGGGTGAGCCCAGGGAACCTGACAAGTGGCAGCGCTGAGGGATCATGGCAGGATTAGCGAGGCCTCACACACCCTGAGCACCTTAACCTAATCCCTGGGAGGCGGCAGCCAGGGGCTCAGCCCTCAGGACACAGTGTACCTTGTGAATCTCGTCCTGGAGCTCCTCGGCCGTCTGCTCGGCTTCTGCAGAGAGAGAGACCCTGACTGTGGAACCTGCCCGAATGCCTGCCCCCATCCCCTGGGGGCGAAGCACGGGCAGCCCGCTCTACCTGAGTAGTCCACGATGTGGGTGGGCACCTTCTCCGGGGTGACGTCTGCGGGAATGGTGATCTCCTCGGCGCGGGGAGGGACCTGCAGGGAACGTGGCGTGAGGGCGGCCGGGGGACGGGCACCAAGGGCTGCGGCCGCGCTCGCCTCTTACCTCCACGGGGAACTCCTCGCCCACGAGCGACAGGATCAGCGACGTCTTTCCCACCTGGGCTGCGCGGGGCGGCGCGGTCAGCGCGTGGCCACGATCGCCGCGCCCCCTCCCCACTCCAGCCCGACCCTGGCCCCGACCCGGCGGCCCCAAGACCCCCACCCGGCTCCCCAGCCCGTCGCCTACCCTCGCCCAGGAGCAAGATGCGCACGTCCCGCTTCATGGCGGCTACGCGTACCCCGGCCCCGGCCCCGACCCCGGCCCCGACCCCGGCCCCGACCAGCGCTCTCCCACTCGCCCGCACTTCCGGCCCCCACCCGCACTTCCGGCCCTCGCTCGCGGAGCCACACTAACGAGCTGGGCGGGCCAGAGCGTCCCGGCTGTGCGGCGGCGCCACTGCGCGGGCACACTGGGCATCGCAGGCCCCGCCCAGACCTGGGCCGAGCCGGGTCCTTCGCAGGGAGCGAGCGGGCTGGGGATTTGGCGGAGGCTGCGCTCAGGCCAGGGCAGCAGGCGCCTGGAGTGACCAGCTGACGATGCCAGAATGCAACACCCACGTTTATTTGAACTTTACAAGGTAGAAACCCCGAAACAAGCCTGCAGGTAAAGAGCCCACAAGCACTTTCCTTAAGTTCAGGATCTTGATGATTGGCAGTCCCAGGCCCGTCTGGTGTGGCGAGACCCATCTTCTCAGCCAAGCGGGGGCCCTGAACTCAAGGCCCCCCCGGAGGCCCGGTGGCCTGTTACTTCCCACACCAGGATGTCACTGTGGGCCGCTGAGAAGAGCAGCCGGGCAGATGGGGCAAACCTGCAGAGCTGCACCACGTCGTCATGGCCGGCAAAGTCCTGCACAGCCCCAGACTCACAGTCCACCAGCCTCAGCACACGCTCTGTGGGCAGATGGCACGGGGCTGGGCCTGGGCAGGCGAAGTGCGTGCCCATCATACCCCGTGTCTGTGGAGCTCCGGGGCCCAGGGTCCTCCAATCTGTGCTGGTGCCGGGACCTCTGGAGGAATGTGTGCTCAACGCCCTGTGTCCTCCACATCCCAGGGCCTGCTACAGCTGGGACCAGGGGCAGTAAAGCTAACGGGAGGGCCCATCAGCACCCACTGCCCCACCACATGGGGCTTGCTAAGCCCTAAGCTAGGCCACTGAGTCCCTCTGTTGAGGCCCTGGAGCTGGGTGCTGCAATCAGCAACCCACGCCCCTCATCTCCTGACCCTACAACTCCCCTGGGGCATGTGTCCTTACCCCACTTCAGGGATGAGGAACTCGGGGCACTGAGGTGAGAGGTATGTCTCAGGTGGGGGTATGGGTGAGTCCCCTCGGCTCCACTCAAGACAGCTGGAGTCCCATTCCACCAGGACTCACCAGCAAAGCCAATGGCCATGAGGTGGGCTCCAGGGGACAGGCTCAGCGACACGGCATAGAATGGCAGTGGGATCCTCTCCACCACCTGTGGACAGTGAGTGTGAGCCTCCCTTCCCCAGCCCTGGGTTCCCGGCACCACACGGGGGTGGGCAGTACACATGCCTGCTTCTGGTGAAGGTTGTAGAAGACCACCTCTGGATGCACGCTGAGGCCCGCACACACCAGCAGTGCCCCATCCCAGGGGCAGAAGGCAACAAGACAGGGCAGGGGATGACTGGGAACCTGTGGAGGGGCAAAGCATGCTGTGGTCAGGTGGGCAGGCACCGTCCCCACCCCTCGTGCCCCTGGGACTCTTACCTCTGTGAGGGTGGGCGATGGGGAGCTCAGCCAGTCCACGAGCTCACAGTGGCCCCGAGGCCAATCGGCAGCCCAGATGCTGATGCGCTGGTCTGAGCTGGCAGCTAGCCACAGGTCTGCACCCTGTGCTCCGAAGTCTCCATACTGGGGGTGGGTAAGGGCCCATGGGTGCCTCCCGCCCTGCCCTACCCAATCTCCCTCCCCCACCAGCTTCCCCCAGGCCAGGCCCTGCCAGCTCATGAAGCCACTTCACCTCTTTGTTCGTGCTCTGGATGGTGGAGATGAGAGCATCCCGGTGATCACTCAGTACACGGAAGGTCATCCCCGTGCGGAGGCGGCTTACAGCCACAAGCCCATCCTTGTCTCCGGAGAGGATGGTCTGACCTGGGCCAGCCAGGGCCACAGCATCACACTGTGAACCCCTGGCCCCCAGCCCAGACGGGTGACTACACGGTTGCCCCGCGGGCCCCCACTCCTCACCATCAGCAGAGTAGGCCACAGCCGTCAGCGCAGCCCGGTGGGGGTGCATCTTGAGCTGCATTGCAATTCGAGCGATGCTGAAGACACGCAGCGTGCCATCACTGTAGCCAGCCACCACCTGCTGCTGCTCTGGGGGTCCGCAGGAGGGGGGGCTCCAAGCCAGACAGAGGCAGCTCTGAGGGAGGGAGGGAGACACAGGAACTCCCCTGGGGATGGGGAACGTGGACCCAGCCCCAAGGCTGGGATGGACACTGAGGGAGGACACGGAGGCCAGGCAGGGCTGGGAGGTGGTCTGGGCTCGGCCCTGGTGCCCCCGAGTACCTGGTTCAGCACCTGGAACTGGATCAGGAGCTCCATACTGGCCAGGGACCACACTCTCACACTCCCGTCATCACTGCATGTGGCCCAGTGGGACGCGCTGGGGCTGAACACCACCTCGTTCACCTGCAAGGAGCCAGCCAGCCCCCGCTGAGGCCACGTGGCCCTCAGGCACAGGGGAGACACAACAGGGCCAGGTCTGTTCTGTCTTTTAAAGATTTTTTTTTTTTCCAAAGACTTTATTTATTTGAGAGAGAGAGAGAGACAGCACAAGCAGAGGGAGGGACAGAGGGAGGAGCAGCAGACTCCCCGCTGAGCAGGGAGCCCGACAAGGAGCTGGATCCCAGGACCCCGGGATCATGACCCGAGCCGAAGTCAGCTGCTTAACCGAGTGAGCCTCCCAGGCACCCCAAAAGATTCTATTTTTTAAACATAATCTTTACCCCCGACATGGGGCTCAAACTCACGACCCCAAGATGAAGAGTCGCACGCTCTGCCAAATGAGCCAGCTGGGCGCCCCTGGTGGGTCTTTTTTTAAATTTTTTTTTTAAGATTTTATTTATTTATTTGACAGAGAGAGACACAGCGAGAGAGGGAACACAAGCAGGGGGAGTGGGAGAGGGAGAAGCAGGCTCCCCCCTGAGCCGGGAGCCCGACGCGGGGCTCGATCCCAGGACCCTGGGATTATGACCTGAACCAAAGGCAGACGCCTAACGACTGAGCCACCCAGGTGCCCCCCCGTGGGTCTTTCTGATGAGAGTATCCATCTCTGCACAGCCTGCCTGGCCCCATCCACCTCCGTGTGGCATAAAGAAACCATTCTGGCCTCCCTCCCAAGTGTCCCCACACGAGACCTGGGTGGCACAGAGTTATAAGAAGCCCCCCGGTCAGTCGAACCTCATGGCTCACTTGCTAAGACAAGCACAGAAGGCACCATCCTGGCAGGCCCTGATAAGTGGTGACGTGACGATGTGTGATGACATGTCCCCAGAGGGCCACACACGGAAGGTAAAGGAAGACAGCCCAGGCAGCAGAGCGCAGGATAAAGGAGATAGAGCAGCCACGTGCCCATGAGGGAACACAGAATGGTCTAGTCTGGGGCGTGAATTTCAAGGGTAAGTACAAACTCATAATACAGCTCACTTAAAAAAATAATTCAGCTATTTGGCTGAGCAGCGACTGGCCCCTCTGGCACTCGGAGCCCTATGTCCATTTCCCACAGGAGGGGCCCCCAGACTCTGAGAAGGAACAGCCGAGTCTGGTTCTGGGCGGAGCTGCAGAGGGGGAGCCTGGAACACCTTGTCCTTCCACACAAGAGAGGAATCACCAGTGCCCATCAGCTCCAGTCAAGGACTCAGGACCCAAAGTGTGGGTGCAGGCAGACGAATGAACACGGAACGCTATCTGGCACTGACCCACGCTACGTGACAGACAAACCTGTGAGGCTTCGTGCTCAGAGAGAGAAGGCCCACAGCCATGGATGCCCAGAACAGGTGAGTCCACAGAATCAGAGTTGGTCAGTGAGTCCCAGGGGATGGGCAGGGGAATCGGGGCGGGGGTGGGGTTGTTTAAAGGGTACGGGGCTTCCTTTTGGAGAGGTGAAATGCCCTAAAATGTGATTGTGGTGACGGTTGTGCAATTCTGTGAAGATATCAACACCACAGACTTCAAGCGGATAAGGCAACGTGTACCTTGTACCTTAACACAGAGCCGTCACCAGAAATAAACAAGAAGCTCACGATACTCGCCCATCTCAAACTCAAGTTTCTTTGATGGCGACCATTATATCTGAACAAATGAACAGAGACTAAAAAAAAAGAAAAAGGACTCGGGAACCAACTCGAAGAACCTACCACTGGCTAAAGACGGGGCTTGATCAGCATCAAGAAAAACGGTGACCACGAGGAAGCTGGACCCACATTTCCATCCAGCAGCTCACACAGAGCCGCACAAACTTGTAGACCACCGCTGGAGGCTGAGGAACCAAGCCAGAACTCAGGAGACCCGGCCCAGGAGGGAGAGACTTGCCCACCCTGCAGCTCCTGCCTCAGCTCTACCTCGGAGAAAGCAAGCTCCCGAGGCCGTCTCTCCTGGTCAGGGTCAGACCAGCACCACTGGCAAGTCGTACTCGAATAGTGAGTAATTCTACAAGCACAGTGCCACCAGGCAAGCAGCCCCTGACCAGACCCTGGCCAGGCCTTCAGACCTCTCGGACCCCAGGGAACATAGGGCCGAGAGGCAGGTCCGACCCAGCCGGTGGGAGGTTCCAGGACAAAGCAGCTTGTTTTTTCAACAAATTACAAGAGAAAAAGTAAGAAAAAGGACAGAGAAGACCAGAAGGCCTGGGTGGGGACACCTGTGGGTCCTGTGTGGACAAGAGGTAAGCACGCAGCTCTAAGCTGTCCTCATCCGGGGACCTCCTGGACCACACACAACCCCGTCTGACAGCTGGGCTTAAGACTTGGAACAGGTCGGGGAAAGGAAGGGTAGAGCAGGGCACGGAGGCTTCCCGCCCTGCCTCTGTCCAGGCTGGAAATGCCCTCACCTTGCTCCTGTGGCCACTGATGAGGCGGGTGCTGGTGCCCTCAGCCCAGCTGATGTACCAGAGCGTGCCTGCCGTGGTGCCCACCACGCCCATGTCCATGCTGTCGTGGAAGACCGCGCTCACGACGGCCCCGTCCAAGGTCAGCTCGCGCTCCATCAACACAGAGCTGGACCTGGGGTAGGGGGTAGGGGGCAGTGGGTTGAAAGGGTGGCGGCAGCGGCAGCCCAGGGAGCCTGGTATTCCGGGGGTGTGTCCCTGTCTTCAGGCTGCAGGTCACAGGCCCCCCCCACCCCGGGTCCGGGACACCGCCCCCCGACCCATCCCCCACCCCCCGGGCACAGTGACGCACACGGCAGCTCACCTGGCGCGCGAGCCCTTGCACCTCAGCTCCAGCACGGCCCCCACCGCCCACAGGCGCACTCGCCTGGTGTTGCTGCCGCTGACCAGCCGCGCCCCCGAGCTCAGCAGCACTCCTGGGAGGCAGGAGTGGCATGAGCCCCTTCCCCAGAGCCCAGAGCTCGAGACGAGGTCCCCTGGGGAGAGGCCAGGGCACCCACCAATCTCGCCGTCGTCCGCGTCCCAGGCCAGGAAGCAGCGGCCGGCACGGGCGTCCCAGACGCAGACCTGGCCGGTGCTGGAGCCGCAGTACAGCAGAGGTGTGGCCCCGAAGCAGAGCGAGGTCAGCTCACCCGCCCCCACCTCCTCAGGGACGGGCTCTTGCCGCACCTGACAGGACACAAGGGCAGCGTGTGTCAGCAACGTCCTGGGGCCCGGCCAGACCCCATCTCCAGAACACCCTCGGAGTCCCGGCACCTGGAGGTGGATGCTGGTCCCACGCTGCCGCAGGAACCACACGGTGATGGCACCTTGGCCCACGGAGGCCAGCTCGCCAGCATCCCAGGGGTTGAAGGCCATGTCGTGCACTGGCGCGGGGAGGTGGGCGGAGGACAGGAGCTCATAGGTGGCCATGCTCCACAGGGCCAGAGTGCGGTCCCCATAGTCCCCTGGCGAAGGCACATGCTAGCTGCATCAGCTGCCCAGGGGTCCCAACACAGGCAGGGAAGTCCAGAGGCCACTGTCCTCACCACACCCCAACTGACCCAGTGTGACAAGAAGCTCGTCATCTGGCGAAAATGCCAGGGCTTGCACCGCGGTACTGTGGTAAGAAATGAGGTGCCGGCAGGAGCCCCCCGGCACATTCCAGATGCGGATGTGGCAGCGGGAGGCGGTGCCGCTGCAGCCCGAGGCAGAGGCCAGGACCTGGCGGGCAGGAGGGCAGGCTGTCAGCAGGGAGGGGGCGGCCCACGGGCCCATCCTGGTTCTGGCTGGACAGAAGGCTGGAGCGGCATCCCCCGTCCTGTTCTGGAGGCGAGAGCCAGCCGTGGTTCTCAAGAATGCAGGCTCTGACCTGCACGTCAGCCCTGGGTGTACAGGGCGGGATGCAAGGCGGGCACCTGAGCATCGTGGCTAAGGGCCAGGGTGGAGATCTCCTCGGGGTGGCCGAGCCAGTGCTGCTGAGCGCCAGAATGCAGGTCCTCCACCACCACCAGGCAGCCGCACGTGTAGGCAAAGAAACCTGTGGGCAGGGAGGGCACCCCGGAGCCAGTTGGCTGGGGCCCGGGGGTGCATCCTTCCCTGTTCACTTCCAGAGCCCGCTCTGAGGCCGGAACACAAGAGGCTACCAGGAGAACGCGTCTTGGCTCGGGCACTGCTCTTACCCTGCCACCCAAACCCCTTACGATGGCAAGTGCTCACGGGCTCTGCCTGGGGCCTGTCCTAGGGGCAGACGGAGCTGGGCCCCTCCCTGCAGCTTCTGGGCTGGGAGCAGGGCGTGCCCCCACCTGTATCTGGCTTCCAGACCACATTGGCGCGCCCGTTCCCGTTGTAGCCCACAACGGCCTTCAGGAGCAGACGCTCAACGCCGGCGTTGGAGACAGAGGCGCTCTGCGAGGACAGAGAGAGGACGCTGGGGTGCCCGCACAGTGCCTGCCCACCCCCCCAACTCAGGCTCTCCCCCATCAGGCTGGGGCCTGGGATGACGCCTTGGGAGATGCAGGCTCCCAGGAGACAAACGGCAGGAACGCAGGCCCCAAAACCCGCACAAGAAGCCGGCAGAGCTGAGGATGCAGACAGAAAAGTGCGAGTGGGGGGTGTGGGAGGCACCTGGAGGGCAGGGAGGCCAGGTAAGGGCAGCAAGACCCGGGGGGGCGTGTCTTGGGGAGGGCACAGGTGCAAGAGCAGGAAATGGGAAGCAGCCAGGGCCAAAAGGGAGGGCTCATCAGGACACCACCCGGGGTCCCTCTGGGCATCTGCAGGACAGCGAGAGCCTTGGCCAGTCAAGCCAGAGTGCAGGCACAGGGTGGATGAGTCACCTGCAGGAGAACTGTCACCAAGACCTACATCAAAGCCCTGTCACCAAAGCTGTGAGCTTTGGAAGCCGCCCCAGGGAGACCCCAGAAAACTGAGTTTCCTAGGGAGAAAGAACACTCCCTGAAACTACAGGGCCATGCCACCCCCACCTCTGGGCCCGCTGGGTGTCTGCTTGTGCAAGGGCCTGCAAGGATCCTCCACCCCCACTGACCCTGGCCAGCAGGGAGGTCTTATGGCGTGCCAGGAAGTGCCTATAGCAGTCGGGGCGAGCAGAGGGATGCACCTGAGCTCTTCCGATGCTCCGAGCACCTGACAGGGACAAGGAAGAGGCCTCGAAACATCAAAGCGCCCATAACCCCTCAGAGACCCCTCCCTGCACACAGTCACCCGGCGCTGCTGGGTGGGACAAGTGTCTGAGCCACAGCAGGCACGTGGGGTCAGAGGGCGCAGATGGGCCACATCCCACTGCTAGCCAGGCCCAGCTGGGGCTCAGACTAGCCTACTTGCCCTGTAGCTCATCTCACAGAGTAAACCTCAGCCTGAGAAGCGGATGGGCCTCCCTTAGGCCACCTGCAGCCCACGGAACACCTTGGTTGGTCATAAGTATCCCCACCCACCCTGCTGCCCCTCTTCTGCTTACTGGACCAGTTATGGGGGTGGGGACCCATGCTGAGGCCCCAGGGGGCCCCTGGAGACCCCCAGACCCCGTCTCCAGCCCCACTGGCCTCCTTCACCAGCATGGGCAGGCTTGAGGCCTGATGGAGCCCCTCAGGGCTATGGCTCTCCTCAGAGGGTCCTTCTTCATCTGAGAAGGCACCTGGGGAGAGGGGGAGAAGGGAGCAGTGAGAGGAAGGAGCAGAGCAATGTTGCCCCCACCCCCGCCCCCCCAGGCCTGGGCCAGAGACACACCCAGCAGTCCCTCCTGGGTCCTCCACCCTTACCACCATCACCCTTGAGGGATCCAGCACAGATGCCCAGCTGGAGTGGGGATGCCGGGGATGGCTCAGGCACCTGCTGCCGGGGGAGCCCATTGGCCCCAGACACCGTGTCCTCCAGCTGCCTTGCATCAACGCCTGGAGACAGAAAGAGTCAACCTGTACCACACACGCCCCGTTCCGCACTAGGAACCCCAGGAAAGGAAGGGGCGCTATGCCACCCACAGAGACTGCAGAGCCAGCACCCAAGATGATCACAAAGCCTGCCCCTGCGGTGGGGCCACTCACTAGTCTCACAGGTCGGGGGTGCCCCAGCTGAGTCTCCGGCACTGCAGAGGCAATGAGAGATCAGATGGGAGAGTGTAGCTAAAGGCCAGTGGACGCAGCTCTAGGGCAGACACTTACCTTCCTGGGGGTGACCTCTCCAGGGGACCCAGAATGTCCCAGAGGAAGATGGCATCCCCCACGCTAAGGAGCTGCTGCTGGTCAGGGGTGAAGGCCACGGCGTGTACGGGCTCTGAGTGGCCGATATACACCTGGAGGCAAGGGGAGTCAGAGACAGATCGTCGAGGCACAGCTAGGGCACCACGGTCCTCCCGGCACTGGGCAGAAGCAGCGCTTCACGCTGCAAGATAGTGGACGTATCCTGCAGACCTGGCTGAGAGTCCCCAACCCGCCAGACAGGGACGCGAGGAGGAGGCTCTCAGGGGTGTCAGGCCCCAACAGGCACAGGGGAGTTGGGGGTTTCATCCTCTACCCTCCCTCCCACCCACCTGCCATGCACCTGCCTGTGGCCCCCACCTGGCAGCCGGGGCAGGCCTTCATCGGGTAGTCCCACACCTTGATGGCCCGGTCAGCGGCCGTCAGCAAGAAGCGGGCGTCCTGGCTGAGGGCCAGGGAAGGGCAGGCCACAGGGTGGACACCTGGCAGCTGCAAGAAGCCTTCTTGTCGGTCGGTGAGGAAAGAGCGGAAATCACAGAGCCCCGGACACGGGAAGTCGCCCTTCTCGAGAAATGCCACTTCCGATGAGTAGCAGACAGCCCAGGCCTCCCCCTCCTCGAGGCACTGGAAGCACTAACGCTGGAGCTCGGAGGGAAGAGGAGGTCAAGCTGCCAACCACAGCCCTGGGCTTACCTCCCGGACCACGCGGCCTGACGTGGTATCCAGCACTGCGATCGCGTTAAAGGACGTGGACACCAGCAGGTGGCCAGGGGGTCCAGGGCCAAAGCAGACGGCCACAGCCGAGTCCAGGCGGCTGTTGGCCAGGTCCAGGGCACCGACATCAATTTGCAGCAGCTGGGGGAGAGCAGCAAACAGCCACCGGGCAGGGCCTCCAGGCAGAGCTTGCACCCCCAGCGCCAGAGCACGGGAGGTGAGCAGCCTCAGACACCCACCCACCGCACCCTGCCTGCCTGTGGCTTACGCGTCCTGTGTCTACGAGTTGAGGCAGCAAAGATCAGATCCTCTCGGGGGTGAGCCTGACCTCCCACCTGCCCCCTCCCACTCCACACAGGGCCAAGGAGAGCCCCTGCCCCTCCCTACTCCCTCCGCCCTGGTGGAACCCGGGATAGCCATGTGGCTGCCGGCTAAGGATGTATGCATGGAGTCTGCCGGCCAGGCCAGCATGGACACACTAAGATTCCAGCTGACTCACCTCTTCTAGGGAGGCTGCGTTCATGACAGTCACCACATGCCTGGAGGGGCCCACGAAGGCCAGCAGACGGCTATCCCCGCTAACCACCAGGGCATTGGGGGTTGGGTGTGCGTCCCGGCACACCATGTTAGCTGCCGGCAGCACGGAGGCACAGGGTCAACTGGGTGGAGACCCAAACCTGCCCCCAACTGTGGCAAACAGACAGCAGCGGGCACGAGCTACGGCTGGGATAGCTGGGGTTCTCCTGGACCACGACCGGCTGCCAAGTGATCGCCGGGCTGGCCCAAGTTACTACCAAGTGGCCCCAAGAGGAAACACATTCCCCCGGGTGACCCAACTCCCACCGAGTGCTCAGGCCATTCACCTCCTCCCGGGGCAGGGTTGGCACAAACCCTCACTGACCTTTTGTTTTGGGGGGCCTAAGAAGTTCTAAAACCACACTCACCCGGGAGCTGTAGGTAGTGAGCAAGCCCCACCCCACGGGGACCAGACAAGCACATGGTCAGGAGGCTGGACGGGGCAGCATGGGGGCCTGACCTGCCACACGCAGGATGCGGCAAGGGGTGCTGGCGCAGTGGTACTGGGCCAAGGTGCCCCAGGAGCAAGAGCTGAACAGGAGGCTGCCGTCGGGGCTGGCGGCCAGGCCGGTGACTGGTCCTCGGTGACACCTGCACCGCACAGGGACAACCACTGCCCTGGCCCTGAGCTGCACCATCCCAGACCGCTCACAGCTGGTCCTGCCTGAGTCCCCAGGGGGCAGCAGGGCATTGGGGCTTTCTGCGGATGGCCCTTCCCTGCCCGGCTGCCCACATACCACCTCAGCTTCCGCCATGGGTGTCTGTGGGGCTGGAGCCAACTGGGCACCCACCTGTGCTCCACCAGAACCTCAGCAGCCTCCAGGCTGAAGGAACGGACGGCCCCACTGCTGAAGCCACAGAATAAGGCTGGCCGCGTGGGGTGGAAGGCGATGGTACACGGGGCATCCTCATCGGACCTCAAGTCATAGAGCTGGAGGGTGGGGTCCATGAGGGTGGGCAGGGGTGGGGCTACCAGTTGGCCTCAAGAGCCTGAGAGCCCATCTCTCCAGGTGGCCCCACGGACCCTCCAGTGCTCCACGCCTGCCTGGGCCCCACCCACTGGCCCTCAGTCCCTCCCTCTGCAATGGCTTTCTTCTGGCTCTACCCCACCTGCTGCAAGGTCGCCAGGTCCCAGATGCGGACAGTGTGGTCCCGGGACACCGTGGCCAGCTGCCCTCGGCTGCCCTCGGTGGCCAGGGCCAGCACCGGAGCGGTGTGGGAGCGAACCAGCATGCTATAGCCCCGGGATGGGACATCTAGGAAGCCCAGGTGGCCGGAGGACGTGGTAGACAGCACACGGTGACCATCAGGGCTGATGCACACTGAAGTGACTGGGCCCTCGTGCTCTGCGGACAGACTGGCTCGGTGACCTCCCAGGCCCCCACCACAACACAGACAAACCCATTTCCTTGCTCTCCGTGGGGTAGGACAGGCAGCTCCCCGACGGCCACCCTTTCCCGGGCTCAGGACTTGACCCCCTGGAGCCCTGGGACTGATGTCTAGCCAGGGGATGACCCAGGGACACGACCCTCCCAGGACACCTCAGATGCCAAGACAGTTTCATGGTCCCACCTGCCTCCAGAAGCACAGAGGAGAAGTCCAGGGGCCAGAGGCGCAGGTAGCCATCCTTGGAGCCCATGGCACATAGGGCTTGGGACACGCTGAGGCTGCTGATGCAAATGCCAGGGCCTAGGGGGTGGGCAGGGTCACCCCACAGCATCACGGTGGCTCCCCCGCCCCCCCCCATGCAGCAAGGTACCCACCTACCCGAGCTGAAGGTCTGCTTCTGTGAGAGAGGGCTGCCGGGGCTCCGCGTGGGCAGGAGGCAGCGAGCGTGCCGCACGGCCATGCGCTGGTGGTCGATCTCCAAGATGTGGCCACTGCGGCCGCACACGTAGCTGCTCAGGGAGGCGACAGGTAAGGGCTGAAGAGCCAGGAGGGAACAGGACCCAGCCAGTTATGGGGGTGAGGGTAGAGCTCACAGCGTATGGCCGTCCTGACCGAAGGCCAGGTCAGTCAGCTCCAGCAGGCGGTGTTCCCCCAAGTCCACAGGACAGGAGCGCAGCTGGCCCCCCCGCAGCCGCCACAGCTGCACACTGCCTTGCCCGCACGACGCCATCCTGCAGGCAGAAGCGCGACACTGCAGTGGCCCCCAAGCCAGGGAGCCGCAGGCTCAGCCCCTATCGGGGCCCGTGGCTGCCAAGGCCTCATCCCAGCACTGCAAGGACAGCACCATCACCTGGTTTCGTCAAAAAGGGCCACCTCAAATGCCTGGATGTCAACCCTGGTGTGCACCTTTGCGAGAAGGGCTGCCGCACCGCCTTGTCCCACCTGGGCCGTGCCCCAGGCCACCACCATCTGCAAAAGCCTGTACTGAGTGCCCGCGGCCCACCACCGACCCTGCCTGGCCTGCCCCAGGCCTCAGCTCTCCTTCCCTACACAAGCCCGCCTGAGCGCTCAGTGGCTGAGGGGGTGGGGACGTTGGCCCCACGGCCCAGAAGAAGCTATAGGTGTACCCCTGGGCTCCCACACTCGAAGCTAGGCCCGTCTGTGGGAACAGAGAAAACACCAACCCGCAAGCAGAGACAGGCCCGGGCTGAAACACGCAACGCATCAGATGCACCTGACTTCAGGACGGCTGACCCGCCAAACACGGCCAGCAGGACAGCGACTCCGTCCACAGGCCTGACAACACGAGGCACCACACAGGGTGCCCAGGGCAGGCGGCTTGCCAGGGGAGCTCTGCTTCCTAAGTGCTTAGGACTCTGCCTGCACCCCGGCACAGGCCACCCCACCTCCCTGACCCGGCCCCGGTACCATCCTCCCGTGGCGATCCTTGCCGACGCCGCAGAGCAGCGCCCCACTGTTGGAAAAGCTGCGGATGGAAAGAAAGCAGTCAGCGTGGCGGGGGCTGGGTCCCCACCCCTCTCAGAGGCCCCACGCCCACCTAAGGGAACAGAGGGAGTGGGCCGGGCTCCGGAACAAGGACAGGCACTCCCCGGTGTGGAAGTCCCAGAGGCGCAGCATGCTTGGGGGCCGGGCCTGGGCCGAGGCCAGCAGCAAGCTGCTCCCATCCAGCGCCAGGGCAGAAACCTGGAGGAGGTGGTAGGTTGAGGGGACAGCACTGGGCCCGCAGGCATAAGCCTCCCCTGGGTCGGGCGGGTGGCACCCACCTTATCCGTGTGGCCAAGAAAGAACCGCTGCTCACGGGTGTCGATGCGCAAGACGACGATGACCGCGTGGCAGGGATACACCACAGCAGTCCCGTCTTTAGTCCACAGGGCCTGTGCACAGGGGCGAGACGTGGATGTCACAGGCTGCTTGGCCTCCACTCTCCCCAACCCCAACACATCCCCTGCCATGTCAGGAGCGCGCACGCACGCATGTGCGAGCGCACACACACACGCTCACACACATACACACTCAAGACCTCTTCCAAACCCTGTCTGCAATACTAGAAATTCTGGGGTTGAGGTAACAAAATACCAGGACCCACAAACACTCAATCCATGTCTAGAAGGACCTGGCAAGCACAAGACCCAAAACTAGCGCCCACACCAGCCCCACACACCAGACGAGCATCAAAGCCTCATGCGACACGTGAGAGCTCTCAGGTCTAGGGAAGCTCAAGCACCCGGGCTGCGCTAACGTGGCCTGTGCTTGCGACAGAAGAAAGGGACGCCGGGTTGGGAAGTCCACACTTCTGCTGAACAGATGCCGAGTTTTGTGCAGACACGGGCAGAGCCAGGCATCCACGGTGGGGGGACAGGGGGGTCAGGGACTCCACATCCTGAGGAAGCTTAGATGTCCACATAGCCACCCTACGGAGACATGGGCTTTTCCCATTGCACCCTCTATGTAACTGACACTCACACGGCCCAGTAAGAGTACTGGATCCCTCACCCATTTGGTACTGTGGCCCCCAAAGCCAATGACTCCCTTGAGCCTCAGGATCGGATCCGGGAGAAAGCTCTGAAACAGGCAAACTCACGGTGAGACCCCAGGAGGTGAGGCTCCCATCCCCCTGGGACTGCACCAGCCCAGGCTAGTTTCTCCCTCCCAAGAAAGCAATGCAGTCCTGGGTGGTTTCTGCCGGCTGCCCTGTGGCAGGAAGCCAGGATCTGGCCACAGTGCCAGACCCTTTGGGGACCCCAGCTCCTGCCCCTGCCTGCGCTCCAAGACCTCCAAAGATCACCTGGTGCCTCCTTATCCTTGGTTGGAAGAGATTCTTGTCCAAAGCCATCTCCTGCTCATTCTGCTTTCTGCCAGAATGCTGGATGACAAAAGGTTTCAGAGACCCAGCAGCCCTTACCCACACCTCATCAAGGCTCCACCCACCTCAGTGAAATGCCTTACCCCTTACCCCTTCCTGGGGGTAGGCACTGACCTCGTGCACAGCCACATCCTCCAGCGCCACGGGCACCATGGTCGGCTTAGGAGCGGACACATGAACACCGTTGCCAGCCGCATGCTTGTCAGTGACCTCTGGCCCAGCCAAGCGCTCTTGGCTACGGTCACTGGGGCCACTCGTACTGGGGACCTCCGAGCGCTCACAGAACAAGCTGACCTCTGGAAGGGGCCTGGGCACTGAGGGGGCCTGGCAAGACTGCAGGGGCACAAGTGCCTATCAGGACCCTGAGGCCACCACCCTCCAGCCCCATCTCTAAGAACAGAGGAGCACTCACGGCTATGGGGCCAAACATCTGGACCACGGAGGGCAGAGTGTCCTGGAAGGCATTGCTGAAAGCCACCGGGCGAGGGAGAACCTGCAGCATGCGCCCCAGGAAATCTGGAATGGAGCCAAAGGCCACAGAAGCCACTGAACAGAGTGCAGAGAGGCCTGGGGAGAGCATGGTCACAGTGCCTCGCCCACTCCTCCAAAGCCACAGCAACAGCTCAGCCCACCCTTCTGCCCCGGGCCCCAGCATGCCCTCCTAGTTGGAAAGTTTGAGAACACCAGGCACCCTACACAACCTCCCACGTGATCCTGGCATCTCAGGACAGCCTTGGGGCTAGCCCTGGCCCCTGTGGGCACCTCCCTGCCAGGTTTGCCACCCCCATACAGTATCAACACCCCCTCCCGTGAAACTCCACGTCCCTGTAGGCCTAAGCCTACGTCTCTGGTGACTCCACAGGCCCACCTGCCTTAGGAGGGGAACAGCTCTTCCAAACTGGCTCAGGAGATGCTTTTGAGCTGTCACTTGGAAACCTTGACAGGGCAGAGAGAAACTTAGTGTCCAGGGACCACCCTGACCTCCCTTCACTGACCTCCCACAGGATGGGCAGAGCTGCTCACCGGATGTGGACGTAGTGGTCATACCAGCTCTCCCCCTTTGGCACCGGGAATGCCATTTCTCGAGGTACAGGTGTGACAGGCAGCTTTGCCCGCTGGGCCTCAGCCATGGTAACAGCTACAAAGAACAGAGCTGGTCCAGGGAAGGAAGCCCATCCAGCTCCCTCTTCCAGCCCAGGCGAGTCTCAACACCAGATGCCACCAGCCCAGCCACCACCACCCCCTGCCCCCCAAGGTGCCTCAGGAGCTGGGGGGCTCCAAGATGGCACAGCACAGGCGTTTCCATCACGGGCTGGGATGTCAGCCCCTCCTGCTGAGAACTCAGGGATGGGGGGAGAGAGCTGGAGCAGACAGGCTGCAGGATGAGCACAGGACGTAAGTACAGCACTCACCGGGGTCAAAGCACAGGTCGCTGGTGTAGAGACTCTTCACGAGCAGACTAGCGCACAGCTTGACGCTCTTGAGGTGACCGTAGCGCCGGTTTAGGTACACCAGGAGAATGTCATGCAAATCAAGCTGTAGGCATGTCCAACGGGCACCAGAGGGGGCAACACTGGCCAGCTCTGAAGAATGCGAGCCAAGATCAGTGCCTACGGTCTCACCAGCCAGCCCAGGGCACTGTGTACTTGGCCTGCCCCAACCACAACGTCCCCCCAGCACCACCTGTCCTTGCGCCTGGGACTGCCCACCTTCCCCTCCGCTCTCAGGCCGCCTCTCCTGGACTACTGCAGCCCGTGCATGCCCCATTTCCACATCACCTTTTACAGATAACCCAGCCTCACAGATGAAGGGAAACTGCAGCCACGTGGCCGTAGACTTGAACTCCTTGAAGAGGTTGGAGAAGGACACACGGATGACCTGGCTGTCCTGCAAGGCACAGCATGACCATGAGGAGACAAGAAGGACTACAGGAATGCAGCACCACCCCCGACCCCCACTCCCAAGCTTGGCACCTCAGTGGCCACATCCAGGTGAATGACGAAGTGCTTGGCTGGCAGGGGCCTGAAGAGCACGTACAGGTACCGGCCGGTCAGCCCCAAAGACTGGGTACTGGTTTTGGGGAGCTGGATGTAATTGCCAGCAGAGACAGAACCCCGGATGCGATACACAGTGCATTTTAGAGTCTTATCCTAAAAAGAGACAAAGGAGAGGCAGCACTGTCCACCAAGGGACGCCGAGAAGGGCACCATCGGCGTGCCCCTGGGGTGGTTCTGACCGATTTCTCAGGAGGACAGAAGGGGTCTCTACCGCTGCTGCCAAGTCCCCGGGCCCACTTACAGTGACAGGAGCCACATCGCCTTCCTTAGTGGACCGCTTCCACTCGCCCACCTTGAAGTGTCTAAAGACGTTGAGGAACGGGTGCTGCCACACTGGGGAGCCATGAAGGTGTGAGGACCCCCATGGGCATGAAGGTGCGTCCCCAGATGCCAGACCCCCGCCGGTGAGGGGGGGCATCCCGCTGTGGGCCTCCAGACCTTCCAGGGAGGGGCCAAAGGCTGGGTCTGTGCTACGCCACCAGCCCCGCGGTGACAGCCATTACTGGGCGCCAGCCCCGGTTCCCACCGGCCCCTCGCCGCCCCGGTGCCCCCCCCCCCGCTGACGACCCCCCCCGGCCCCGGTCTCCGCCGCGCCGACCCCCCGCCCCCCGCGCTGACCGCGCCCCCGGCCCCCGGCACCAGCCTCCCGCTCGCCGGTACCTTTCGCCATGGCGTCGCCGCTCGCACTTCCCGCCTCTGCCGCCGCGCGCTCCACGCAGGGCACGCAGCGCGCGCTTAGCAACGACCGCCTGGCAACGGCGCCACTACTACCGTCACGCGGGTGAGGCCACGTGACCTGAGGGGCGGGGCGCACGACGGCGCGGCGTTGGCCACGTGACCGCGGTGTGACCAGAGCCGGGTCGCGTGACCGTGGTCGGTGTTGAAGGTTCGCCGGGCTCGCCGTGGGCGGTCTCTCGGGCACCCTGAGAGCCGTCGCGGCCCGGGCCTCTGCGGCCACTCCCAAGCCAGGACCCTATGGCGATGCCCTAGCAGGGCTACAGCGGGAATCTGGGAAGTGCCCGACTTTCTGGGGCCCACCTGTATATCGGGAAGGGCACGCACCCCGTATTTATGGGAATGCGCTTGTCACACTCACTGCCAGCCCACTGGGCTCCACCCTACTGCCTCCAGCCCTCTAGCGTCCACGCCTGGGGTACTCCGCTCCACCCCGCAGGCAATGCCACCCACCCAAGAGGCAAAGCAGTGTCCCACAGGGCAACTCAGTCTGGGGGGTTAAGACACAGGACTAAGCCTCCTGAGATCTGGCCCCAATCCTGGGCCTCTGGGACTCGATCCCCGGGCCTGTTGCTAACATTTGTGTATCCTGAGATGGGGCTCAAGCACTTGCCAACGGGGAGAGAAAGCTGGGGGGTGCCGCGTAAGGTCAGCGACATCCAAGAAAGATGAGCTGGCCCAGAGAGGGGCCCAGCACCTCCATCAGGACACAGGAGGGCCAGAATTGGGCAGAGCTGCAGCTATGGGGCCAAGGAAAGTTCAGGCTGGACCTAGTATGTGAGGACCCTGACCCCACCCACCACATACCAAATAAAGGCCACTCGAAAATGGCAGTTTCTCAACTTTATTAGTCTGGAGCTCCTCCCTGCCAGCCCCAGGGGCTGGTCCCTGGGCACAGTGAGCAGGATTGAGGTCAGACAGATTCAGCTTCTGGCCCCTGGCAGCATAGGACAGCTGGTCCAAGGGGTGAGCAGGTGCAAGAGTCCAAATGCTGGCACTTCAGGTGTGGCCGGCTCCTGGCCAGACTCAGGGTGAAGGACAGCCTGCCTCGGCGGCTAAATAGGGCTCCGTGGTCCTCTCCTGGCAGGGGCCAGGGCTGGGCCCTGGGGCAGCATTCCTTCCAAGGCAGCTAGGAGCAGTTAGTGATTCTGGCCAGGAACTGCTGTGCCCACCACTCGTCCAGGTCAATGGGCACAAAGTCTGTGGGCAGAGTAGAAGGCTGGGCAGTGATGCTGCCTCCCAGATCAGTCAGGGTCTGTCCCTTTGAGCTGACCACAAGCCCCTCCCCCAGACCCAAACATAGCAAGCACTGGGAAGAAGCAGGTTGAGTTCAAGTGCCCTCCCCAATCCCCTAGGGCTAGAACGCAGCAGGGCCCAGGTCAGGGTTGGAGGGGACTCCCTGAGAGCAGGGGGGGCTCACTCTGCAGCCGGGGGCTGGGGGTCTTCTCCACGTACTGCACAGGTCTGGGCCCACTATCGCCAGTTGGGCCACTACCCAGCTGCTGCTCCACTTGCTGCCAAGCTGTTGGGGGAGGGCAGTAGGGCTGAGCCAGGCCTTGGCCTACTGTCTCCCACCTGGGACCCCAGCTAAGAAGAGGAATAGGCAGCCCACTGGACAGTCACAGGACCAACGGGGAGACAGCCTAGGAAGAACCCAGCCCTCTAGCTGCTTGGAACCAGGTCACAGTGGGGAGGAAGAACAGGGGCCCAGGCCTCACCCTTGGGCCTCGACACTACCTTCGGACACAAATCGGACGTTCTCCTCATGGGCCAGCGTATAGGTCTCTTGGGTTCCCTCAAGGGATGGAGATGTGGCGGGGGGCCGCCGGCCATTCACCCGATTGAACACAAGCCTTGGTCCCGGACTGTGGAGGGGGGGGGAGGAGCCGGTCAGCAACTGTCCTAAGCCCAGGTGATGCCTGGCAAAGCTCCAGGAGCAGCTTCAGACCACCCCCACCACCCCCAGGCCAGGCTCAGCCTGGGCACTTCCTTGACCTTCAAGGTAGTTGCGTGCTGCAGTGGGGGCCGAGGAGGCCTCTCTCCTGCAGGTCCAAGCCCTCAGCAGCTCGATTCACACCTGAAGTCCCCAGCCCCGTGCCCCAGACCCCCAGCAGGGTTCCATGCTCAAGGCACACAGGCACTCCTCCAACGGTCTCTCGGGCACCCCTACTGCCACCTGCATCCCACCTCCCCAGGACCAGCCAGGCCTCCAGCAACCCACGTTCAGATCTAAGCTACAACGAGATCACTCTGACCCAACCACAGTTGGCCAGGCACAATTCTCGGCCATTTTCTCTCCCCCCGATCCCCTCCAAAGCTTCTCCATCTCACCACTGTCCCCAGTGTGGGAGAAAGGACCCAGACAACAAACAGGCAATCGCTGCCCTTCCCTCTTCCTGGCTGCCCCATGCTCCGTGGGGATGAGCCCTAAGTGATGGTCTGGCCAAAGAGCACTGAGTGGAGAAGCTGTGACTTCAACCCCAGCCCATCCCTGCAGGTCCGAGACAAGGCAACACTCTTGCCCACAGGGGGTGGGAATGCTGAGTGAGGAGATGGCCCCCAGGCTCTGGAGCTCAGCCTGGTGGGCGTGGGATGTCCAGGAAGCCACTGGGCCTGTCCCGGTCAGCAGATCAGCGGGGCCCAGGGCACTGATGGGCTGCCCTTGCTGGCGGCAGCTGGCCTAGCCCTGCACACACAAAGCCCAGGACGGGGCCGTGGAGGGAGCGGGGCCCGCACCTACAGCAGGAGGTGGGAGCCGGGAGTCCTGGGCTGCACGTGCCACTCCGCCAGGCACTCGCGGTCCCGCCGGCCTGCTCGCCTTCCTGGGCTCAGGTGCCCCACCGCCGCTCGGGGGTCCTCCTTGGCTGAGAGGGGCACTAAAATAAAGAGGAGTGTCTTGAGGGGCACCGGTCCCGCCAGCTCCAGGCCAGTGAAGAAAATGTAGGGGGGCGGGGCTCCTCCCAGGCCTGAGCTGCACCAACCAGAAGGTATGAAGTTTTGTTCTCAACTTGGACAGCCCCTCACCTGCCACCCCCACCCCCACAAGCCTGCAGACTCCAGGAAAGTGGAGGCTGGACAGCGAAGAAGGAAAACCAAAAAGGGAACTGCAGCCATGGGCTGTGGGTCACAGGGACCAAGGCCGTGGCCTGACCAGGGCTGAGCAGGGGCCCAGCAGGCAGGCACCCACCTAACCCCCTACCCCACTGGGACCTAGTTACATAAGGATGCTCCACAGGCCCTCTGGGGGAAAGGGCCCTGGCTCGAGTGTGCACCTGTGGATGAAGGCCACGCTGTGCCTGCTCCCAAGGATGCTGCCCGTAGACACACTCCAGTGTCCCTGCTCAGCACCCACACGGCATCCTAGCACTGAGTCTCCTCTCTGACTCCCACGGTAAACCACCCACCCATTTCCAGCCCAGGACCCTGGGCTCAAGACAGGGAAGTGACCCGCCCAAAGTCACACACTGTGAATGGGTGCTAGTTCCAGAACATACGTGCACACCTGCCTGGCTTCAAAGCCCACGTCTCAGTAAAACTCCCAGGCCACCTCCCCGACCTGCTCCCGTGACCATCTGGGGGTCACGTGGCGCCATTTTATCTTCTTCCCGACAATGAATGTCACCTGCACTGATCTCTGCTGTCTGCCTCACACTGGGAGCAAGAGCGGCTCAGAGGCACAGCCCCATGGCAGGCCAGAACCCCAGCCTGCAGAATTAGCAGGTCAGACGCTTTGAGCACCTGTGGCGCACACGGCGCACCAGGCGTGGAGGATGCAGCCGTGGCCCAGACAACCCCTCTCTTGTGGGCAAGTCGGGGTGAGGGATGTCGGGTAGTAAACAGGCACTACAGGGGAAAAATCAGGATAGGAAGGCGGGTGGAGCCACTCTGGAGGGTGGCCCCCCCGAGAAGTTTCAGGAGAGGGGGTAGGGGGGGACTCACTTGGCCTCCCAGCAGGGTCTTTTCGAGGCCACGGGGACTGGGAGGGGGCCCAGCACAACCAGCACACGCTGTGCCTGCTCACCACTCCCTGGCACACAGTAGGACCCACACAGGACTGAGGCAGGCCGAGGGTTGTGCTCCCTCAGGCCAGGCTGGTCAGAACCCTCCTGACCCCGCAGGCTATGGTGTGCCCAACTGGCTGAGGGTGAAGGTGAGGCATGGGGGGGGTTGGTTAAGGGCTCTACGCGGTCTTTCCCATCTCCCTCCCCAGCATGCCCCATCCCTGGCACAGATGCACCCTGATTTCATCAGCAATGGGACTCCGGAGAGGGAGGTGACACGCTTCTCCAGGTGAGAGGGTGGGGGGGGCACCCTGGACCACTCTGCTCCCAGGTTATCTGCCTGGGTGACCAGTCATGGCTATACACCTATGTCTTGTTTACTCCTCTGGGCAGCAGGGCAGCCGTGAGGACCAAAGCTGAAATCACAAGGCAATATTATAACACAGCCTGGGTCCCAGGAATTGCCCCCCAAGGCCCTGCTCCCCTGTCTCCCCAGGACACGCCTGTGGTTGGCCTAAAACGTTTTCATCACTAGGAAGCAACCTCAAAATGTCAATGTGCCCCCAGCAGAAGCCACCCCCACCCCAGGGAAGGGCCTCGGCCCAGAAAGATCCCCACAGGCTGCCCCCTCCTGGCAGGCCCCCATCACCTGCACCCTCAGAGCTGCCTCCAGGGGCCCAGAGTCAGCCACCCTGTTTATCTGCTGCCCGTACCCACTGCCTAGCCCAGGAGGCCTCAGGCCTTTGTGGGCTTGGAAGAAAGCCCTGGGTCCAGGAAATGCATAGAATAAACGAAACCAAAGGTCCAGAGCTAAAACAAAAAAGTAAAAGGTTCAGCTCTGGGGGAGGGGGGGGATCTGACCTCCAGGTCAAGGTCATGTGGAGGCCAAATTGGCCAGGACCGAGATGCCTATGGGGCAGGTGTTGGGCACTGG